ACGGTGCTACAGTTATACATAAGACGACGGTGTGGGCATGACCCCAGAGACCCTCTGCCGTGCTCTGGTTGTAGTACCTTTGTCAGGGCAAGCCGATTTCAAGGTGAAGATGGAATCCTAAACTCTGCATCCTCAACTCTAGCCCTAAGCCCTTAAACCAAGAAGGCAACCGATCTCATGAAGGGCATCCGTGGGCTTCTCTTTGATGCCCCGATGCTGCCGTAGCCTCGGTGATGCAGAGTATCGAGATTCTGAGGTGCGACGGCGTTTAGGCTTCTGTTTCAGCTGCGGTTTAGGGGATGAGGGGTGTTAAACATCATACTCAAATTGGACAGTAGAATTGACTTTGCTACTTCATCCGTCTATATGCTGATTTTCTACTGGTTTCGCATGTGTTGCTTTTGTCAGCGCTGAAACACCGTCTATGAAGGCAGTAATAGGCTTTGCAAGCGGGCTCAAGGAAATTACAATGCAGAGAAGAAGATACCTGGAGGCTCATACCCTACCCCTTTTTTGAGGTACCTGATTTTCTATACAACAGATCCTAACCATAAAACTCGGTATCTTGAAATAGGGGTAGGGTCATAGAGGGTACTGTAGACCCCCGACTGATGCATGAGCCCTCTTTCCTTAACGACCTCAGCACTAGGATCCTAATGTAGGAACGTGATTAAGACACCGTGGGCCTTGTTTAGGGCTCCTTATAATATGAATCCTACTATTTTGGGGATAGAGGCCCAGGGTTTCTTCATCAGGTTCCTACATTATCATACTTTCATGCGTTGGGTTGCTTGCAAGCCAAAGGCCGGGGTGGAAAGTTGAGCCCGCCTGGATCCTCAACCTTAATCCTTGAACCCTGAAACCCGAACCTCTTAAATCGTCGCTCGTTGCTTTTAGTATTTAGTGCTTGGTATCAGAAAAATCCAGAATCAGGCCAAATATGTGCCTTTTCAAGGACAAAAACTGATAGACTGGTAAGCTCGTTCCCTGCACGCAGCTCGAAAACTCGCAAACCCCTCAGGCCTAGGACGAGAATGTCCGAAAGCCCCCCGGAGCCCCAAAACCCCAAGTCCTTAACCCCCAAAGTCTCACAATTAATCAGCCCTAAAACGTCCTAAACCCCTCTATCGTAAACCCTAAACCGTTACTGAACCTTTCCGCGTTGTACATAGCTTGCTGCTTGGCAAGTTCGTGGGCGGAGCTCTTCCGTAGCTCCCGACCGGTGGCCGGAAGATCCAAGCCGTCTGCTAGGGTTTAGGGCTTTCAGGCTTTGGGGTTAAGGGTCTTGGCGTTTGACGGTTTCAGGTTGATTTTAGAATTGAGGGTTTTAGAGTGAAGGGCTGTGTGAGCTTTTGCTGCTGCTTTGGTGTCTTAGATTGCGTCAAACAGCCTCGTGTCGCATCCCCAGGCTCACTCTCCGACCCACGATTAATGTCTTGGGGGAATGGACTATGGAGATGATTATTGGGGATTATATGGGGACTGCTCTAGGGATCCATTCCCCATTCCCTACTAAGCACCAGGGAGACGATTAAACCCTTGGTTTTCTAGGTAGGTGGTTGTCAAAATTAGGGTCCCTTTTTGGGTACCCTAAATATTAGGTGCCGTGCGATAATAGGGACCCAAAACGGGACCCTAATTTTGAGAACCACCCAGGTGGCCTTCCGAGACTTCATATTTCACCTTCTCGGGCCTGGGAGGGTTCTATTTACGAGTATTTGCCCAAGGCTTTAGGAGGTCAGACCAGTTTTGTTGGGTACGAGCCATTTTTTCCAGCTTTTCGCTACGTATCGGTTTGGGACATTGTTTTTATTTCCCTGACTGTTTAACCTAGAGCCCTGATTACAAGTACTATTGGGGCAGTCCAAAACGACACCGAGTTCAGGTTTGTCAGCTCGGGAAAATTACCAATACTCTTCCTCTTGGGTTCCCCACCATGCTTATAGTGGAGTATAGCCCACAAGATTCAAAACCCTATCCTAGTCGTTAAGGCTTCTATAGACTACACCTCTGCCAAACGGCACGCCGATTAGGATTGCCAATACAATTATTTGATCCAGCTGTTTCGTCATGTGGATACGTAATGTCACCATATATGTTGTCCGTGGTAGGGATGAAGGAAAATGTTGGACTCTGTTGTTTCACACTTGATGATGCTGTTGCGATACGTGCTTATTGCAGTGCATGCCCAGAAATTTAACCCGAAGCACTTAAGCACCAATCCAAAACCCTGAAAACAACTTGTGTGCTGGTGACTCGGAGGGCTTGGATCTGCACCGCATGCCGGAAACTCTTGAAAGTAAGGTATCTAAAGAGGCCTGCATGTTTAGTAGTGATGGTCTGGTGTAGGCTCAAGGTCGTTTTGTAAACATACTCGCCCCGAGCCATTTTTTGATATATGAGGCCCCTACATCAGAGCTTTTTTCCAGTACAGATGTTAGCAGCAACAAGCAAGCCGGGCTGCCAAATGCTAGTAAGCACACTGAGTCGGAGCTTACTGTGCGTCCAATGGAATGGTCGACAGCAGATAGCAGCAGTAGTACCATCATCCATATCACAGCTCTAAGCAATGGTACCACAAATACTACGTTACTACGTGCCTGTTGCCGCTGATGGTTCTCGTGGGCTCTTTGGTAGTCCTCACTATGCTAGCATCACAAATTGCAGTTTCGAAGCATGAGCAAAACACAATGGTGCACATATATTTATTGATGCCAGCTGCAGCAGCAGTAGAAGTGGTAGTAGTGAGTAGGAGTACGAGTACGTGTCCGAGTGTGAGTACGAGTAGAACGGGTACTCGTGATAGTACTGGTACTAGCAGCAACAGTAGCAGCAGCAGAAGCAGCAGCAGAGGCTGCAGCAGTAGAAAAAACAGTAGAAGTAGCAGTAGCAGTAGCTGTACTATGCTAGTGTTGCGGGGCACGGTGTGGCGAGCAGGGTTTAGTGCTCTCGGCATTTGCAAAGCTAATACTCAGTGACTCGTTCCAGCTTCATGATCAGCTAGATGCAAACCCTAGGATGCGAGGGTTCGAAATTCGCGCATTGTGTACAGGTCGTCGGCATTTCGTCTGTGACGGACTGCAACCAAGAACAGGCAGCCGTTGAACGTTGAGTTGTTGTGGATTGTTCCAAACTTGGACTCCCATCAAAGGACCTGAGATTCTCAGGAGTGCACTTTCTTCATGAGCTCGAACAGTGACCCAGCAGTCTAAATTTGCGCATCCAAACAACACCCTCGCAAGGCTAAAGCCTCTCATACTTCACCCAAAAGCCTAATGTAGGGCCGTTAATAATTACCTATGTTATTTTTTGGGGGTTCCTCACTATAGTCATAGTATACTTGGCCCCAAAGCCCTATCCTTATTATATTAAGGCGCCCATATTACCACAAGGGATCCAGTACTGGAGCAATCCCAATGTACTCCTGACCCCCGAAGTCCCATTTCAGGCTCGGCTGGACTCGCTGTCGCTCTGGAAAACAGAATAGCTCGGAACCGCCTGAAGCCCCCACACCCTAAACCCACAACCCCGAAAACCCAAACCCTAGACCCCTAAACCCTGAACCCCTAAACCCTTAACCCCTAAACCCACGACCCAGAAAACCTAAACCCCTGAACCCGAAACCCTTAAACCCACAACGCCGGAAATCCAAACCCTAAACCCACCACCCCTAGTAAAACCCAAACGCTAAACCCCTAAACCCGGAACCTTAAACCCCCAAGTCAGAAATCCGCTGATCCTCAGGATCGAAAGGCAAGATTTGAGAGGGACTAGGATTCGAGATGTCGAGCGTAGTACTGTTTGGCTTCAATCCATCAGACCCAGATCCCGAAACCCGAAAAGCCTAACCCCCATATTCAAGTCTGCTGAGGGACAAAGGGGTTCAATCAAACGCATACCGGCACACCCAGCTCTTCCGGCAACCTTTAGCCTTTCTACTTAGAGGATCAGGGGACTTAGTAAGTAGGTTATAATTGGGCTTATAAGTCCCCTAAGTGGGAAATTATAACCTACCTATAACCTTACTTGCTAAGTCCCATGAGCCTTTAAGTAGGTTGCCCCGTAGCGTCCTTTTGCCCTTTGTCTTTTGGGCTCCCTGATTAAAACCGATCGGTGGGAAGTAGGGTACCCTTATTCCTATGGGCGACTCTGCACCGACGTGATATAGGAGGCGGAATACTTACATCCCCGTATAGTTCGCACATAGCTCGAGTATGGATCAACCCGAAAAATCCTTCGTCTAATCACTCAGGCCCCAATGATAAGCCCTCAACCCTAAACCCCTAAACCCATATACCCTCAACACTCCGAAGATCGGCTGCCTTAACTCCTCGCCACGATTTCTCGAGTCAGGATCGAAAACCCACATGCCTCAATCCGAGGAGCAGCACCGAACCCACAATCTCAAAGCCGGAGAGCACCATCGGGTTTAGGGTTTTAGGGTTTAGGGTTGAGGGTTCCGAGCAAGCCTGAATTATATCCATCCAAACCCCACATAAAACCTCAGTTGCTGGCAGATGGACATGGAAGTGTGAGCTGGCACATTTTAGCCTCGCATCGCAGACCCCGCAGCTCATGAACCCCAACAGAGCGCGAAACGTCACCCACTCCATGCACTTTGGAGCCAGAGCTTCAGGCACCCACTACACCCCAAACTCATAAACCCTCAACCCTACACTCTCACCGAGTCCGTAGTCCCGCTACACCCTAGATCCTCACCAGACCTACAGCCCATAGAAGCCTTGCAACTAATGACCTTCCAAGTCACGCTCGCACCGCAAACCCAGAGTCCTAAACACAACCCTAAACCCCTGACCTCTCTTTAAACCCCCAGAAGCCCGAAGCCCCGAATCCTAAACCCTAACCGCTTAACACCGTAACACCCTAAAGCCCTAAACCCACCAGACGCCTCAAAACCCGAAAGCCCAGACCTTTGCTAGCAATGAACGCCTTGATGGGCGGTTTCATGCAGCCCACGGGTTACTCTGGCGGGTGGCGCGATGTCAGGGAGCGCCGGTTGGGGGGAATCAGGATTTAGGTCTCAGGGTTACGTTTTTTTTTTATGACTTTGCGTGATGCGTTTTGTTTTTAGGGGGGCTCGTTTCGGTGGTGGTAAGGGGGCCGAGAGGGTTGAAAGAGGAGCGTTAAGGGGTTGAGGTCTTCTGGGGTCTTGCTACATTACTTAAAGGATCATGGGACTTAGTAACTAGGGTTATAACCAAGGTAACTACACATAACTACTTATATCCGCACTTAGGGCACTTTATAACCTTACTTACTAAGTCCCAGGATACTCCATGTATTATGTGTTTACCCGTTAAATTTCCCTAATCCCACCTGTCGAGCTCTACAAGTAGCACCCAAGGTCGAACCCGAATACCGGTTGCGTCTTTTAGGGTTTAGGGTTTAGGGTTTAGGGTTCCAATGCTTTCGGTTACCCTTCTGTGCATTGCCACTCTGACTATTACTGTACTCGTTTGTCAAAAGATTCGCGAAGACGCTGGTTGTACCTGTCTCAGAAGCTAAGCAGTATTTGGGGCTGTCGTCTCCACAGCAATGCTTGTTATTGGCTTGCTGGCTGCTAGCATTGTTACTATGGCCATTCTCGGTTAAGCCCGTAGCAGCCTTATCGGTTCGTTTAGCAATTGGATCATTTCCTTTCGTCCCTGTCTCGGGATAGAACGCTGCGAGAAATGTTCAGCGCAGCACTGATGGCTTAACCACTCTGAGCCCAAGCCTTGAACCTTAACCCCTATATATGTAAACCCTAAGCACGAAATCCTAAACCCCGAACCCTCAACTCTAAGCCCCAAAACCCTAAACCCCAAACCGCAAATCCTAAACCCTAAACTCCAAACCCCAAACCCTAAACCCTATAGTACCCTTATACTACCCGTTTAGAGCCCGTTAAAGGAACCCTTATAACCCCCCTTTAAAGGAACCCTAGCATCCAGGACCTTTGGGGAGACCGGCCTCAGAGGCCTTATCAACGGCTCCCTGGATGTGGCCACTCTGCTGCACTCCCGCCCTGAAGCCTTGCATTCCGCAAGCCAAGAGCCCTCAGGATTTATAGGGTTGAGGATTTTGGGTCTGGGATTTAGGGGTTAGTAGTAGTAGTATTAGTAGTAATAGTAGTAGTAGTAGTAGTAGTAGTAGTAGTAGCAGTAGTAGCAGTAGTAGTAGTAGTAGTAGTAGTAGTAGTAGTAGGATTTAGGGCTTAGGTTTAGGATTTAGGTTTAAGGTTTTGGATTTGCGAAAGGGGCCTCAAAAAGTCAGAAGAAGGTTTTTGGGGTACTTTCCTCCTAGAATTCTCGTGATGAGCTCGTGATGAGCTCCAAAATGGTATGTTTATCATGTAGGCCCCCATATAAGGCGAGCCTCAAACTCCCAGGCTTTGAGCCCACAACCGCAACGTGAAGACGAACGTAGCGCCCGTCACTACCAGAAACACCCGGCCGCATGAGACAATACTTCCGCTACAAGGACTTGCATTGGCTCTTCAAATGCGCCATACACCGCTATTGCAAACCCTGCAAAGAAAAGCTGATCACTAACGATCCAACGCAAGATTGGCCAATCTGAGATCCGAACCCCAAACCTTCACACACCCTAGTAACACCCGTTTCTACCCGAAAACTTCCAAAAAACGATTGTGCAACCGCGACAAAGCCCTCAGCAAACTCCCCATAACACTCATCCTCTTAAAGCTCCAAAATGTACAAAACCAACACAAACCAGAACCCGAAACCCTAAACCATAAACCCGACACAAAAATCAAGAACTCGAAACCCTAAATTCCAAACCAACGCAGGTTCGGGATGAACCGGAGCATCGCCGGGACCCGAGTTTTCCATGGCGGGCCCTCGTCTTACTAAGGCTTGATAGTATAATATAGTATATATGATATAGTATAATAGAATATAGTATCATATAGTATAATGCGATATGTTATTGATATTGAGGCCTAGTGAGTTTAGGGTGCAGGGGTTTAGTGGTTTAGGGTTTTGGGGCTTAGCGGTTCATGAGGGGTTTGGGGGCTTAGGGATGCACAAGGTACACTGGTTCTAGACTCTAAGGTCGGGGGCTGGTGCATGTTTTGCGGTATCTCGTTGAGATTCAGGTTTCGCGATTGTTCAAGGGGTGAGGAGTGGGTCCATACATCATCTAAGCGGGTGGTATGCATTCTTAGAGGATCGTGGGACTTAGTAACTAGGGTTATAATTAGGGTAACTAGACTTATAATTACTTACAGCCCCACTTCGGGTACGTATAACCCTACTTACTAAGTCCCATGGTCCTCCAAGTACCTATAGTCTCCATTGTAGTTCCTTTTTGGGGTTACCTAATAGGATCCTCATTATATATTTGGTTAAACCAACAAAAGGAACTACAATGGAGACTCTAGGTAAGGTCATAAGGGCCTGATGGGGCTTGTAGACAAAAGCCGCGATCAAGCACCTCAACTGACTAGGACCTAGAGTAGGCCCTTGTTCCCTTTTTTCAGGTTTAGGTTCCCTTATAACCCACTTTAAACCAAAAAGGGCACCCTTTTTAATCCTAGGTTACTCTTCGGTCTGGCTGATGTTGGCATAGTGGTGACGTGCACGCTTAGACCCGCAAGCTCCCAACAACACCAGGGGCCTTAATAAGTACCTATACTATTGTGGCTAGGATGCCCAGTAGTACCCTTATTCCCTTTTTGTAGTCCTAGGTTCCTTATAAAGTTACCCAATACCAAAAAGAGAGGCCTTTTTATTCTTGGGTTACTGGGTATCCTAGGTGGGGGTTCCTTATGATACCTGGAGTATAAGGGGCCCCAAACCCTTTTCTAATTAAGGCCCCTAGATTATTCCCGCCAACAGCCCTAACCCACCAAAGGCAAACGACAAAGACCCTAAACCATCAACACCCCCTGCAATCCTAAACCCTCATGCCGTGTTGATGTCTCCCATGCTGAAGTCTTCAAGTACGACCTTGCGACATACTCTCGACATTTCAAGCTCGACAGCTTAACGGTAAGAGTTCCGAGGTGGCTGTTGAAACCAGAACCCACACTCCGAATGCTTGTCTTCAATCGTCAAAACATGCCCTTAAAAACCTAAACTGTATAAATCTTCAGAAGTAATTATACCCTAAGCCCTCAATCCCTTGAATACGGAATTGGGCCCGAACCTGAAACACAAGGTCTTGGCAACCTCGGGCTCTACGTTCGTTTGGTGGGCCAGCCGCCGAACGCACAGGTGCATTTCAGAGCTCAGGGATAGCACCGAACTCCTGAGCCTTAAACTTGCCTTGAAGCATCCTCTACCTAAAGCCCTAAACTCTAAACCATCCTAAACCTAAAACCCTAAACCATCCTAGACCTAAATCCTTAAACCCTAAACCATCCTAAACCTAAATCCCTAAACCCTATAGCTAAGCCATCCTAACCCTAAATCCCTAAACCCGAAACCATCCTAAACCTAAATCCCTAAACCCAAAACCCCGATCCTGAAGCTGAAGCCGCGTCCCCCCCCAACTACTTTCTGATATAACCCCAAATACCCACTATTATAGGACCAGGACAGGGTGCACTCAGACTGGTGATGTCGAGGGTGTACTTGAAGATTGATAACATATATATTCTTACATGCATATAACCTGTATGCATATGTAAATGAATAAACACATATACATATACATATATATATATATATACACATACATACAGAGGCCCGATTCCTAGTCTTCCTAATGACTTGCCCGATCTTGTCTGCGTCTTGGGGCCATGCGAGTGCTGAAATCATCTTGCAACAGACGCTGGTTCGGTATTATTGGTCGAAGTTGCCGGCCTTGTTTGGTCGTTGTGCAAAAGATGGTTATGGAACAGCATGTCGTTAGGGTCCAGGTTCCAGGACTTGAAGCTAGCTCCCAGCTCCACACCGTACTCCCTCCGACTCGAAACCCTGAAATCTGAAGCCGCAGATGGGGGTTTCCAAAAATAGGGGATCCTAACATAGTACCCTAAGAAGTAGGATCCTTATTATAAGGACCCCCAAATAAGGTACCCATAATTTTCGGAAACTCCCATATTGGTCAGGATCCGGGCGATGGACGAAGCGACCGCTTTGTTGTTGAGGAGGACACGCACCAATGCTTGCCCCCTACACCTTATACCCTACCCCTAAACCTGTCTACACCCTAAGCTCGAAACCTTCTGGAAACCCAAAAGGGTGAAAAGAACTCATTGTTTTATAGGCTTCTGGGCCCTGAGCCCGAAACCCTAAACCCTAATAGTCTTACGGAGCTGGAGAATGGATCTCAAGCTTCAATCACTTCTACAGGGTCCTTAACAGTTAGAAAAAGGTTACTTGAAAGGGTTCTTATAAAGGGGTCTACAAGGGATCTACAGGGGTACCATAGTCGTGGGGCCTTAATCATTAGCTATACTATTCTCGGGAGGTTCCTTATTCTAGTTATGATATAGTGGACCCCGAAATCCTATTGTAATGAGTAGCCCTTCAAGAACCGCTTTAAAGGGAACCCCGATTCAAATAATTAAGGTCTCACTATTGTGGTACCCTCATAGATCCCTTATAGTAGCCCTTTAAGGACCAATTAAAGGAAAATAGTATAGGCGATAAGGAAGGCCCCACCATTATGGTACCCTTATAGATCCCTTATAGACCACTTATAGACCTCTTTATAAGAACCCTTTCAAGGAACCCTATTCTAATTGTTAAGGCCCCGAGCCTATCGAGACCCTCTCAGGACCAGAGACAGCGTGTGCGCCTGCACTGGAGAAGCCGCGAGGTTACGGCTGCAGAGGTCATGTGCGTCCCAGAGGGTCCATATACAGTACCACTATAGAGTTAGGTACTAGAAGACCATTCTTCTTATGGTTTTGGGGGCCTATATAATTATAATCCCATGAGGGCAGTATATGTAATATATATATATATATATATATATATAGACCCTCTGGGCGTGTTTGCTTTTCAGAAATCATAAGCCCTAAATCGTCCATGATTAGAGACGTAAACCCTGAAGCCACTACATAGGACCCCCTGTAAGGCCAACGTCCTGTAAAGGTAGATGGACCCTGAGGTCCGGAATGTAATGAGGACAGTATTGGCATTCCGGGCAACGAGCTCGCTTGGCCAACGTCTGCAGGAATGCAGGATGCCTGTACTTGTTTAAGCGCAACTCGATTCGCTCCAAAGCGCTTTCCTGACAAGTAGTCTTGACAATCTTCCGACGTCAGACACTGACCGCCCTAAACATGCCGAAATCCAAGTTAACAGTTATGGGTTCATTTTTATGCTCACGTCAAGGCTTTTGGTGCTATATGCGGTAAGGGGCTTTAGGGAAGTAGCGGAAAGATATTCAGAGCATAATACAAACCCCAATTCTCAGGCGAATTAATAAGGCCTCCTGATAACCGTGAAAAGCTCATAACTGTACCTTACAAGAAAAGACAACCTACTCCAATTCTGAAGGCTCCGCCACCCTAAACCATACCGCAGCCCTCACTTGTAGTAATCCTTTGAAGGAATCGTTGTAGTAACTTGTTAACCCTATAAACCCTAAACCCTAACCCTCAACCCTAAACTCTAACCCTAAACCCTAAACCCTAACCTAAACCCTAAACCCGAAACTCAACCCTTAAAGGAGCCGTTGGCTGTTTAGACCGGAACGCAGGCATCGGAGAATGGCAGCTCTCGTGCCGCCGGGGCACTCAAGACCCAGTTTCAACCTTTCGAGCATAATCTACGCGTCGGAAGCTCGTATAGTGGGTACGTGGCCGAAGGTTCGACTGGTAGACAGGGACACCTTTATGGCATCAGGTTCATCGGTTTGTCACTCTATTTAGCAAACTACCTGTACCCATTACTATACAAGTACGATAGATGCATGGACCCTTAGTACGAAGAAGGGAGGCCTCTAAGGTCAAGGGTTCAATGAAGGGTTATATGAAGGAGCCCGTTTAAAGTCAGAGCCTGAATCCAGACAAAATCGTTGAATGAGACTGCGGCGTGTTGTGTAAGTCCGAATAAGCAAGAGAGTCCGTATCTACTCACATTTTATTCGGTGTTGAAACTGGACTTTGCGACCCACACTGTGCATGAACGCTATGTGCAGTAAACATCACACCCTTCACCCGTAAGCCCCGATCCCACAAAATCGACTCCGAGGCAAAACGCAGTACAAGCGCTCCAAGTGCTGCGACCCAGAATCCACGATTTCACAGCCTTGAACACTTGCACCCTAAACCCCGAAACCCTAAGCCCTTAAACTCCAAATCTTTAAACCGTAAACCTTTGAACCCTATATTCCCTTAAACTCACAACCCTCAACCCGAAGATTTGGCACCCGACCCTACTTCGAGGGGCAGATGACTTAGCAAGCACATAGGGTCACAGGTACCTGAATTGGAGTTGCCTTTGTTACATGGTACCCTAATTACTAGGTTCCTTCATGAAGGTGCGTAAACCCGAACCTCAAGCCTTCATAGGAACCCTTTGACACCCCTATGAAATCCGTATGAATGCCTTGCAAAGTCGTGAGCCCCTAGCCGTAAAGCTGGGGCTTGACTCAGGCGTGGTATGTTAGTAGCGCCTTCTCCCCTTGGGAGCCAACGGCGCGGTGCCTGGCTGTTGTGTTTTGTTTTAGTGTCTTAGATTTCTTGCTTAGAAGAAGCCGGACAAGAGCATTTCTACATTTCGGGGATAAGACTCAGGAGCCAGCATGTCTGAGCTACGGGGTTTCAGAATGGTAGGGTTGCATACATCTGTAGAGATGAATCTCTTCAGTTCTGGTTATGGTCACAGGAAAAGTTGTTTGTTTATGTATGTATGTATGTATGTATGTATGTATACACATGTACATATATGCACATAGCTTCTACAGGTGGAGGTTCGGTTTTTGTACAAAAGTGTTTAGGGCTTGGTGTGAACCACAGTAGCCTTAGCTGAAAGTCTAGAGATGTTAAAGTCCCGAACCTCTCGGGAAACCCGAATTTCTGACAGGGTTTAGGGGTTTAGGGTTTTTCGGGGTTTGGGGTTTAGGGTTGGGTTAGTAGGGAATGGAGGAATGGGGTACAAGTATAACTACTGTTACTACCATTCTTCCATTCCCTACTAACCAAAGGTAAGCAACTCAACCACCAATCTATTCTGGGTTCGGGAGTCGGGAGTCAACAAATCCTCAACCTTCAACCCCAAACTCCAGGCCGTATCCCTGAACCCGAAGCCTGTAACCCTAAATCCTGTACCCAAAGCCCAAAGGGTCCAAGTAGCAGTATAGGATATACTTTGGGGCCCCAAATACCTACTAAGCACCTGCTAGAATGGTACTTGGACCCTTTGGGAAAGGCTCCCCTAAACCCTAAACCGAACCAGAGGCTCCACCTCAGGGTTTCAGAACCAGCCCGCCAATTGGATCCGAGGCTTCGGAGGGAATCGGAGATCTTCAGTCCTCGCGGTTCCTTTCCATCTTTGACCCCAAACTCCTAAACCCCAAACCCTAAAGGCATTCTATTACATAGTACTAAATAAGCCCTAAACCCCATATCCCACACCCTAAACCCTAGCTCCATAAATCCTAAACCCCAAAATTTATAAGGCCTCAGTTTGCGAGACGCTGGGATGCGAGGCAGGGCATGGCTGACATCTTGGGATCCGAACGTCCGGGTTTCGGGATTGAGCTTTTTGTTTACGTGTTCTGCACAGACAGAAATGATATGGATGTATGTATATATATATATATACACATATATATATATATATGTGTGTATGTATGTATGTATGTATGTATGTATGTATGTATGTATGTATGTATATATATACACACACATAAGCATACACATGTTTTATGTTTATATGTGATTATAACTGATTATATGTGTATACATTTGTATATACATTTGTACTTGTATGAACGTGTATATGCATAGATATCGTGGGATTTACTTGGGCTCTGCAGGCTTCACAGGTTTAGGGTTTTCATGGTCCTGGGAGGCCAAGCTATGGTTGAGGTGCTAGGACTCGAGTCTTTGAGGTTCAGGGTTCAGGTTTGAAGACTTCTGTTTTAGGCTTGAGGTTGGTGGCTTTGCCGTCTCGAACACAGCCTTAAGCTTTGGATATGTGGCCTTACGATCCATGGTGAGAGACCAGGGTTTGGGGATAAGTACTGAACATTGCAGGGCACGGGAGAAGCGGCGACTTTCGGCAACCGTGTATGTCGATCATCTGCAAAATTCGTGTTGGCAACGTGGTGTCCAGGTTTAGGGATTAGCATTCGGTAGCGCTTGCAACAGAGACGGCTTTAGGTCAGGCAGCGGAAGCTTGCGTACAGCAACGTCCAGCGGATCCAAACCATTCGATTCTCTCCGCAGGCACACAATAGCAGCTGTGAGGGACAAGAAGCGTTTAAATTTATAGATACGGGTGCACACAACGGCAAGGCGCATGGCAAGTAGGTGAAGGGAAGTGTGAGTCCCCTGATCAGTCAAGTAGATCCGCAGCTTCAACCCTTATAGAGCCTCACAGATCCCTGTACCGCCGTTTCAAACACATTGCAAGAAACCTGATACCCTCAAAGACTCTCTGGACCCCTATAAATATTCCCAGGGTACTAAGCTTGTCATCGCCAGGCCGTGGATTGGGTGTGGAGCGGTCTCAACGCGTCGATTCTGTCGGTGGGCCTTCAGGCCTCTGTGAATCTGGTTATAGAGGCTTTGTATGCAGGTTACAAATTTAATTAAAGTTGTACAATTTATAAGTTTAAATCTTCAATGGGCTTAGGGTTCAGCGTTGGGAGGAGTCGGGGTGTCGGGATTGTTCGACCTTAGCTTCCTAATGCAGACAGAGTAACTTAGAGGTCTAAGTATGTACTACCAAGATCTTCCCTTTAAAAAAACTCTGTAGCACTATGGATATGTCATCCCGAACTCCATGCTAATTCTGGAAGGCCTCTAAAAACCAAACAACATCTGGCTGTGGCAAGGCAGATGTGGGTCACGTTCTCTTCTCCCCACCACGTGCTGCTGCTGGACAAGGCCCAGAGGGCTTAGGGTTTCAGGGCTTTAGTGGAGCAGGGGTTTAGGGTTCAGGGCAGTAGGGCCCAGACCTTCCAAAATCCTTTAATTAAGGAATATACTTTAAATCATATTAGGGATCCTACTATAATTTAGAGGATATTCCTTAATTAAGGGATTTTGGAAGGTCTGGGGGGGTTGAGGGTTTACGTGGGGCATCAGGGAAGGCCTAGGCTATAAATGGGGACTACTTGTACCCCCCAGAGAAATAATAGCATCACACACAGTAATACCAACATAACAATAGCAATGCATTACTAGTGATAAAACTAACCAACAATATCATAACATACATATTGATCATCATCATAATTTGTTATTCTTATTACTATCGTTATCAGTAGTGCAGCAGGAGTAGCGGTAGCGGCAGCGGCAGCGGTGGCGGCAGCGGCAGCGGTAGGGGTAGCGGTAGCAGTCGCAGTAGCAGTAGCAGTCGGGGGAGAAGTAGTAGTAGTCAGTCGTCGTCGTCGTCGATGTCGTATTCGTAGTCGCTTTCGTAGTCGTCGTAGTAGTAGTCGTCGTAGCAGTAGCAGCAGCAGCAGCAGCAGCAGCAGCAGCAGGATCAGCAGCAGTAGCAGTAGCAGTAGCAGTGGCAGTAGCAGTAGCAGTAGCGTCAGTAGCGGTAGCAGTAGCAGTCGCAGTCGCAGTCGGAGTCGCAGTAGTAGTAGTAGTAGTAGTAGTAGTAGTAGTAGTAGTAGTAGTAGTAGTAGTAGTAGTAGTAGTGGTGGTGGTGGTGGTGGTGGTAGTGGTAGTGGTAGTGGTAGTGGTAGTGGTAGTAGTAGTAGTAGTAGTAGTAGTAGTAGTAGTAGCAGTAGTAGTAGCAGTAGTAGTGGTAGCAGAAGCAGAAGTAGAAGTATGTTATGCAATGAGGAGAACTTCCCAGATGCCTCAGGTGCGGCCTCGCACGCCAACGTGAAGTGCTTCACCAGAGATGGACTGTTGGAGACTGAGCGTTTAGGGTTTAGATTAGAGTTCGGGATTTAGGGTTTGGAGTTTAGGGTTTAGGGAATCCTGCTGATCATGGTCACAGGAGCTTGAAGTAGGTACTAAAATCCCAGACTGTGCCCCAATGCCAGCCGAGTTCAGCACCCCGGAAGCACTAGTCGCAAAACCCTGTTCGATGACAGTCCCGCCTTACAGCAACTCAATTCATGAACCATCAGCTGTGTATTAAACTCAAACTCTGAACTTCGAAACCCGAAGAAACCGCTTTGAAAGGAACCCTTTACTGGAGTTCCTTTTACATTATACATATATATATATACACATATACATATATATATATATATATCGTTATCTATTTATATATATTCATTCAGAGAGATCCCTTAAAGGAGCCCGTCTAAGATGATTGAAACCCTAAAGCCCTGGCGGCACCTTGGAGTCGAGGTTGGGGTTCTGCATGCGGGAGCTTTGCTGCCGGATCGATGCCGTAGACGCTGCCAGGTCGGGACCCTTTAAAGGGATCCATAAGGGTTCCTGTAAGGGCTCTACAGGGTTTAGGGTTTGGGAGTAATTATGCGAATGTTGATCCATAAGGGCTCCTTTCAGGGTTCCTATAAGGGCTCAATAGGGTTTAGGGTAGTTTAGGGTTTCCGAATATTAGGCGCCCCTTATTTTGGGGTCTTTATAATAAAGATCCTACCGCTTAGGGTGCTATATTATGGTCCTCTATTTTCGGAAACTCCAGGTGTCGGGTGAGGGAAACGTACTGTTTAGAATATGGGCTCAGGTTGTCAGTGTGGAATCTGAAAGGTACTACCCCATTTGGTCATGAAGGTTTCGGCATGATTGTCACACGTTGCATTTTGCCGTGCTATTGCATAGTGAGCTTGTCTCTCCTGTATGGCCCAAACTGGGTTTGTAACTTCACGTAATTTGTGGTTTCAAGTTCTTATCCTTCGGACGTCCGTTGTCATGTTTCTAGGCCGAGGGGGTCCGGGATTCGGGGTGGGGGTTTCCGTGGGCTTGTGCTCTACCACTGACCAGGCTATACATGTCGTCAAGGCCTCAACTTAACCCTCAACCCCCACGGTCTCTAGCTCCTTAGACACGCAAACCTCAAGGGCCTGTTATTTTATTTTCAAACTTCACAATGCAGGGCCTTTGTAGAACCCTGATAGGGCCCTGTTCGAACCCTCATATGGGAGCCCTGTTGCATTGTCGTTGAATTATACGACGCTGGCAGGTCTGTTCGAACCCTCATATGGAAGCTCTGTAGAACTGTCGTTAAATTATACGACGCTGGCAGGTTTCGCCTTGGATTCTCCATGTGGGAGCTCGATGGCGACGGTGTGAAGGAGTGTTTAGGGTTTAGGGTGGCAAGGGTTCAGAACCCTTGAACCCCAAAAGGCCCTAAACCGTTTGGGGTTGCGAGGGTGTCCATGGGTTTCGGCCCGCTTGTGTCCACCAGGCTTCTACTTAGAGGATCATGGGACTTAGTAACTAGGGTTATAATTACGGTAACTATACTATAATCCACTTAAGGAGTATCGCATGTTTGTACATGTCATGGCTAGGAACTTCTCGCTGCGCTTAGTTTTACTACATCCGAACCCGTTCTTGGGCTTCGGAGTTCAGGGGCTTGAAGCAGTAGCGCATTTTACCAGCTTCATCAACGGCCCTGTATTGCATAGGCATTTGCACTGTCCCCGAATGGTGCTCATGTGCTATTGCGACAAGGGTTTCCGGATAAGCTCATATAGTATGGCAGTTCAATGGCATTGCATGGCTATACCTTTATACCAGTATAGTAGATTCTATCATGTAAGACAAACCTCTAGATTTTTTGATTTACTCACATATGTTGCACTTGTACTGGTCTTTTATATCGTTGTATGAGTATAGTATACCGTTGTAATGTCCGAAGTCTAAGCCCCAAACCAGAAGGTCTTCGTTCTGGAACATCCTGGAACTGCTGCCACGTCTCAAGGTAAGAGTAGCGGAGAAACGGTTCCTGGAGTGCCTTGGACAAAAAGGTGACACCCTAACTCTTTATCTAGGACCTAGAGTAGGCCCTTATTCCCTTTTTTAGGGTTCAGGTTCCCTTATGAGCCCCTATAAAACCAAAAAGGGCGCCCTTTTTATTACTAGGTTACTCTTGGGTCTAGTCTTTATTGTTCTTATTGGAATGCTATAAGGGTTTTGCAGGCCTACACCCGAGTGTTTTGTCTGCGAGGAACCTTTGAAGGCACGTTACTACCTATAGTAGAAGCCAGAAAGTTGGAATATCATTAACCCCATGCCCCTAAGGTAAAGTACAAGGGATCCTAGCACGAATCCTCCTAAATCCATGTTCCACCTTTTTGGCTTCTACTATAGCACCCTTGTAACAATCAAAACCCCAGGCTACACTTGAGGTCTGTGTGTTGGGTGCTGTGCGCACAGGACTACTTCGGAGAGCTCAAGGAGGCGTCTACAGATTTAGGGTTTAGGGTTTGCCAGCAGCAGGTTTCTGTGAGGTTCGAATGGATTTCGCGTTTGCGGTTAAGGGCTTTAGCTTTGGATTTATGGGTTTAGGGTGTGCTGCGAGGTTGTCGAGAGGTGTTGCAAGGATGTTTGCGGATTCTGCAGAAATTGTGGAGGCTCTTACAGAGGGTCTATGCATTTTGACAGACCGTTGGCGGGTGCTAGCGAGGGTTCTCCGAAGCAAGGTTTCTTTGCATATTTGATGAACGGGCGTGACGGCATACCAGAGAATTGCTGGATTGCAGGCCTTGTTCACACCAGAACTCTTATCATGTAAGGCAAACCTTGTACTAGACATTCATTGATTCTTTCTATGGATAGATATACTATATATATATATATGTATATATATATATACTGTTATCTATGGAAACAAGTCCAAAGAGCACAGGGAACTCCAAAATCCCAGCCCGAATCTGCAAGCCACGGACCTGCAATCCCAACAGAGAGGGTGCGACCCTGAACCCCTAAACCCAAAGTCCTGAAACCCTACACCCCTAACCCTACACCCTAAACCCATAAACCCGATAAGCCCCAAACACAAGAAGCCCTAAACCCTGCATGCACCCTGAACCCTAAACCAAAAAAGCACTACTTAAAGGCTCATGAGACTTAGTAAGTAAGGTTATAAGTAGGTTATACGTAGGATAACCCCACTTATAGGGGACTTATAACCCCAAGTATAACCTACTTACTAAGTCCCATGATCCTCTAAGTAGGAGGCGCATCTTCCCTTCGGTCCGCTTGGCGTGGTCCGCTTTGCGACACCCGAGGAGGGACTCTCCTTGTGGGAGGCCGCGGGTGAGTTAGGGACCCAAAAAGCACATAAGCATAAGCATTTTACACGGATATCCCTGCCTTAATGGGCTTCATTATGAGGGGGTTTATATGGGATATCCCTATCCTCATTTTTGCTTATGTGGTTTTTTCGGGCCCTAGTGAGATGTAGGGATCTCTTGAAAATCAGAGTGCTGTTTTAGCATAGGTTCTCTAAACCCTAAAGCTACATATATTCGGATGAGAAGTACTACCAGACCCTTATAAGGGTTTGGGGCTGTGTAGGGTGTCGGAATTCAGTTTACGGCTCAGGGATTTTATGTTTAAGGGTCAATGCCATAGAGGTTTAGGGCACTGCAGCTTGGATCCTTACGACTATGATGCATGTACTTGAGCATGATGATGACGGCTGTATGCAAGCTTATACTTGGGCTCGGCTTTATTATGCTGAGAGCCACTACCGGCATGACGATTATGGTCAGCAGTACTGCCGTCATGTTCTCTACGGTACCTACATAATCACATTTACAAGTGCATCTAGAGAACTCTAAGGGTCCATGTACCCAAATAGTATATGCATTGGCCTTTAATGTGGTCCCTATATAGGTACAGTGGGCCCAAAGTATATACTATTTGGGTACATGGACCCTTAGGGGCAGTGATCTGCGACACCCTCATCAAGGGATCTCTGGTGTGCAGGGCTCAGGAGTTGCCTTTAAGGGATCTATGGGGTTTTAGGGTTTAGGGTTTAGGGTGATGATATAAATCCTGCATTACGTTAAGGACCCTAAACTATGCGAAACATATGGTATATTCCTGATTATGGGTAATGCAGCATTTTTCTCATCCACCGAAGCATTGGGGCCTACTTGTTCGGAGGGGCTGTACGCATTCACGAGTTCATCTTAAGAGGGATGGAGGGGCTCTCGACACCCAGAACCCAGAACCTTAACTAGGTAGGCCTTTGGGACATTTTATAATTTCCCTTATTGGGCTTAATAGGACCCTATTTACGAATATTTTTCAGAGGCTTTAAAGGGCCAACCTAGCTAAAGCCTTCCGGCCTAAAAACCCAAACCCTAAACTTTGACAAACATATCACTCTCCGAAACCCAACGCGCAAACCCTTAAACTCTGGGTTCGCATCGCCGGGCAGGGCTTCGTAGCAGACCAGGATTCTCTGAGTTACAGTTTCGGGAGTGTGAGTTTAGGTTTCAGGGTGAATTTCACAGTACTCATGCTAGCCTCAGTTGTGCACGCTCAAGGTGTCAACTCAGCACTCGCCTAGGTTGATGGCTGACCTGCCCCAAGTTTTGTTTGGAGGTGGGACTAGCTTGCAATAAGATCCCCTGCTGTATCCCCACACCCAGTTCGAGTATTGAGGGGTCTTTATAAACTTCAGTTTCCAGCGCCGAAATCCTCGAGCCTTCAAGCACCCATGAGTCTGTGCTTCCAGAGGCCTGTCAGTCGCCAGTGGAGCCGCAGGCACAGCGAGTACACCCAACAACCTTCCATAGTAGCGGACAAAATTCCTGAAGGGAGGAGCCTCCCCCAAAAAAATGTACTGGCCCAAATCATGACGCACGTTATTTCGCGGGCTCCTTGCTATAATCATAGTATAGCATACCATAATTACATACCTCAATACCCCCAAAGTTATAGGAAACTACTAAAGCCCCCGTAGAACGGCAGGTCAACTGCCTCAGGTATTTGCTGGAAATGCTTCGGGCAGCGTGGCCGTACGTTGAGGTTTGTTGGAACGGGGCGGAATACAAAGCTGAGAGGCTTTTGAGGATGATCTCGTCGTTCAGGACGGTTTTAGCTGTAGAGATCACTCCGGTATTCCATCATGTCGTGCTCATGTTTGGGCTGTTTAGGGTTGGGTGTTTAGGTTGAGACTCAATCCTAAGCCCGAAACCTCGATAGAGACCTTTCGGATCCGTCATAAGTAAAGTGCATGTAGAACATGTCTAGCTCTTGGATTTCTGGTTGAGCAGAGGAATTGGCACATACTTGCAGCAGCGCACCCTAAACCGTAAGCCCAACAAGTACATTTCATGTGGCCCCTTGGCAAGTTGGGTATCGCAATGATGGGGTCTTCTCAGAGATATTGGCGAGGATCCTCGGCGTGATCCTGATATTGACAATACCAGGGTTTGAGGTAAAGAGGTTCAGGGTTTAGGGTTCAACCCTAAACTTGTCCTAAGCCTAAGCCCCAAACCAAAGTTTAGGGCTTAATGGGTTGACAGGGAATAGGCTCCACCAGGACCCCCAAATGGCCCTTTAATGGAGCCCTAATGGCCCTTAATAGTAGGTACTTGGGGTATATTAGAATGTAGTTGGGGGGTCTAGGTAGGGTCCTTGTGTTCAAGTCGTCTCTTGCTGGCAGGGGCCAAGTTCGCCATCGACCCGAGGCCGACGGGTTGCAGGATGATACTGTGGGACTGAATACCCAGACCTTCCAAAATCCCTTAATTAAGGAATATCCCTTAAATTATACTAGGGATCCTACTATAATTTAAGGGATATTCCTTAATTAAGGGATTTTGGAAGGTCTGGGTAATTACCTATACTATTTTTTTTTGGGGGGGGGGTCCGCATTATAGTTGTAGCAAAACCCTATTCTAATTATTAAGGCCCCGATATTACGGCTTGGCTCCCTAGGGCCCTAAAGCAGTTCCTTTTTGGGGGGTTCATAATTAGGATACAATAAGGTAATCCCAAAAAGGAACTACTATGGGGCCTTTGGTTACAGCCTCCTTAGAATCATTTTTCCGTTCATATACAACCCAAGAGAATATCAAAAAATGTGGCTTGTACTATGGTTCGAAGAGGGGTATAAATGGAGCCCTGAGCCATATAGGGTTTGGTGTTTAGGGGGCTTAAACTATACCAGAACCTATTTCTTGTAGAGTCTATCAACTCCATATCACGGTTTGTAACAAGAACCTACACTGCAGTACGTTACGGTAGTTTATGGTGAGCAATAAATCCTTAGCTCACTCGCCCCTGCACTCTACTGCAGAGTACGGCAGGACGTGTTTAGGAATCACGGGGTACGCGTTGTGGATCCGAGCGTGAATCGAGACGCATTTCAGAATGGGTTTAAAACAGGCGTCCCTGTAGAGGCCATGGGAAGCGCAAGAGAGATGACTCATGACTAGGGCCAAATGCACGGTTGAAGGCTTCGGGAACGGCATTGAATGCTTGACCTTCAACCTGAAGTTGGAAATTCAGGACAGGAAGAGGCCCAATTATGCGCGCAAAGGGACCACTTGATAACCACAAACGGACTCTTCCGTGGCTCATGCTGTCGATGGGAAATCGGTCATATGTTTTTTCTTAGATCGGGACCATTCAACATAAATTGACCCGTGTTGGACAATGGCACACAGGCGGCATGGGGATGGCTAGCCAGTCAATCCTTTCCTGTTTTATTCTGCGCATGAGTGCGGCAGCAAGTGCCAAGTCATGCTCATGAAATCCCCCCGCAAAGCCTGTGCACTTGTTTTCTGATGTATCTGAGCAAGTGGATCCTGACGTCGTCAAGAAGATGGAGTTCATTGTTACCGCTCTGCGTGAGAGGGCAACTGAGGCCAACAAAGATATGGAAGCCAAAGATTATAAGGAGTACGTCGATGGCCTGAACGCAGGGTATGTGCTGAAGCTGTTCTCCGAAGTGCGGAGGGCTTATAGTTTCCGGGTTTAAGATTCGGGGTCTGAGGTTTATAGGGTTATGTTACAACGACAGAAAGGCAAGACATTCGAAGATAGGTTAGACCCTCAATATACTGGTCTCTCCTGCGCTGCTGGATCTGCACATTGCTGGACTTGTCCATTTGAGCTTCTCAGATCAACTCTATTGCTCAGGGGTGTAGTTGAAAACTCAGGTTTAGTGGGCTTGGGTTTTGGGCCCCAAAGTAGTTCCTTTTTGGGATTACCTTATAGGATTCTTATTATGAACTTCCAAAAGGAACTACTTTGGGGCCTTAGGGTAGTGTGGCCTTTGTTTCACGCTCCTCGTTTTGCACATTTTCAGGCCTTGAGATGCTCAAACTACGGACCTTCCATCTCTTGAGCGACGGCCCAGTTCAATTCCCCGGCGCATTTAAGCACCTGCGATTTGTGCTATTCCATTTCGCCCCGGTAATTATCGGCCACTATAGAGGGCTCTAACCACCGAAACAGCGGTTCGGATGAAGGAAGCAGCCGCGAGAAGCATGTGCTCGTGCCTTACCCTGTGAGGCCTTGAGTCGCAGTTCGAGGGCTCGGGGTGTTCTGATCTACACTAGGATGCCCAGTAGTACCCTTATTCTCGGTGCCAGGTTCCTTATAAAATTACCCAATACCAGAAAGAGAGGCCTTTTTATTCTTAGGTTACTGGGTATCCTAATACAACTTGTCGGAGTGTTTCGGTTAGGCCGTGCGGAGACGGTGGGCATCTATGCAAGAGTCTTTGAGAGTCCGTCCAGCCCAGAACCGACCACTCATGGTAAACTTCGAGACATGGTCTAGGTGGAAAATTAGTTGCTGAAGCCTTAAACCCCAAATTAAGCTTCGGGATTCCTTTGTTCGAAGGCCTATGCAATAGGGCTTGTGGTGCAGGGTTTAGGATTTGGAGTGTGTGGGACTTAGCAAAAACCACGAGGAAGCTTGGCGAGACCTCCACCCTTGATCCCGCAACCCCAGACCCTAAACCCCTAAATCCTACACCGCTAAACCTCAAACCCTGAAGCCGTTCCCAACTGACTCTCTTTCTTCCTGCTGTCTCGGTAGGGATGCAGAACTGGATCCTGCGTATCTTTATTGCGACAACAGCTTATACCCTGAGGCCTATAAACCTTCAATACCCGCGGGGCCTCAGCCCTAAAAACAATTAAAGTCCTAAATCTTCAACTGGGGATTTCCGAAAATTAGAGGTACCTTATTTGGGGGTTCTTATAATAAGGATCCTACTATTTAGGGTACTATATTAGGGTCCCGTATTTTCGGAAACTCCCAATTCTTGCTGCAAAGTCCTAAACCCTAAACCCCTGAACCCTAAACCCTGAACCCCAGAACCCTAAACCCCTAAACCCTAAACCCTAAACCCTAAACCCTAGCTGCTGCTTGGGGAGACTGCCCTTGTTTTCTCCAGGCGAGGACATGCACTTCGTCAACCACTTGGAGGATTATGGGACTTAGTAAGTATGGTTCCTTAAAGGTGTCCTTGTAGGGCTCCTTAAACGGATCCTTAAAGGGATCTATAAGGGAGTTCTATAAAGGAGGATCATGGGACTTAGTAAGTATGGTTATAAGTACCTTAAGTGGGGATATCAGTGGTTATCAGTGTAGTTACCTTAATTAGAACCCGAGTTACTAAGTCCCACGATCCTCTAAGCAGGTTGTACAACGGGGAGGTCATCTGCCAAGAGAATGTGCGTGCCGGCCAGCTCCCGCGAGATGATCAGACAGGTGACTCTGCCGGGGTCATAGCGACCCCAGGGCGCCGCCACGGGACCAGTTTGGCCGGCGTCTGGAGCAGCCACCAGCTGCCGCCGCAGATGACAGGGCAGAGGCTGCTATGCAGGTGGAGGGACACCAGTCCCCCACCGGGGACTCATATGAGTCCACGGAAGAAGCCGATGACTCGGCTCCTGCTGAAGCCGAGGAGACAGGTGCGGCTGCATCCTCCAGCACCCCCTGGGCACGGAGAACAGCCAGGAAAACTTCGGCGGCCAAGAGCTCGGCTTTCCCGGCGGGGCAACATGCCTCGCTGGCCCCTGTCACCGCGGCACAGTGGGGCAGGGGGGACGGGGGTAGGGGACTACATCCTTATGAAAATAGGCCTTATTCGGTCCTTATGGGCAGTAAGGCCCCCCTACCCCCCCTCCCCCTACCCCTCTAAGGGGTGCGACCGGGGGGAGATGGTCCAGCCGAAGATCGCGGTGTTCATGAGGGGTCCATTTCCTGCACACGGTGATCGATGGTGGCAAGACTTAGGGGGAACACGGCCTTCAAAACCTGGATCCAGAATAGGATACCCAAGGAGTCCTCAGCACCTCATAGGTCGCTGGTGGGTTCCTTTAAGGGTTCAGGGTCTAGGGTTCTTTTACGGGTTCCTAAGAACGTTCGCCGAACCCATTCCAGTTTCCATGAGGCCTTATGTTACAGGGTATGCTCCACAAAGGCTAACTAAACCAAAACTATCCTGACAACCTGGCTTGCCCCACTGTTGCTTGAAGTACGCCCCTAAAAACCCTAAACCTCGACCTCACTAACATTCAACGCATGACCCCGACGTTGAGGTTTGTCCGGCTACTGCTCCTGGACACCCATAAGCGGTCTATGGCCGCCTTGCATTTTGTCCAGGCAGGTCGAACCAGGGAGAGGTTGAAAGCTCGCGTGAAAATCGGATCATACGGTTGATGATATGGGAATTGTGGTATTCCTTATTAATAATGAGATTAACAATAATAATAATAATAACAATAATAGTAATAATAATAAAAATAATATTAAAGAACAATAAGATGAAATAAATCCCGCATTACCTTCAGGACCCCAAACTATGGGGAATTATGGTATATATCATTCAATATGGGTGATGCTGGGATATATCGTCAACCGTAGTGGCCCTGTACCCCGAGACACCAACTCCTGAATACGTGGTTCATATAGTCCTGCTTACGGAATACATTTCAAGTTTGCCGAGCATGTTGGAGGTAGAGTGCTTGACGGGTTCTGCAGCAACCATAACCTGTACACCAGGGACCCTACATAAAGGATCGGGTATTTAGTCTGTCCGACTATAAGCAAGGCTACAAATTTGCTTTTGCAACCTCAAGTTGCTAGTGCTCTTTTGGCTTGTCACAGAGCCCCCTAGCCGACACTTGTTCTCTGCACAAGGGAGGGTCCCTCAAACAACGAACAAAAGCTAGCTGAGTAAACCCGATGTTGACCCGAAATCTTTTTTACAGTAAAGCCACAGCCAGCTGTAAAACCGCAAAGCCCCTTCTGACGAAGCCTGAAAGCTTTTACACGTTCACACTCGAAATGCTTTCGTAACAACTGGAATCCGAGTGCCTTAGCACCCCGGAGTGCTGAACCCTGAAGCCACAGACCCACACAACCTCAAGCCCTGAAACGTAGATGGAAGGACAGAGCTTGGAAACAACCGGCCCGAATCCCTACACCCAACACCTGAAGTGCCGCACTCTGAGCCCTACCTAGACCCCCTAACTCAGACCTTGTACACCCACCCATCCCCCCAGTAAGGCCCCCAAACCCTAGACCTTAAACCCATGATTTGACCCCAGACCTTCCAGGGCGTTGTTAGAACGTCCTACAACCCAGCCAACTATTTAGGCAGACCCTCAGTCCTATACACCCTAAACTCTGAACCATATAGTATATATCAATCAAGGCCATAAAGGGGTTCCTAACTGGTACCTTGAGCCTTAAATATACAAAATCAAAGTATATGGAGCCTGAAGTAACCACAGGCTCCAAAATCTAGCCCAAAACCCCGAAAGACCCAAAACCCCCAAACCCTAAGCCCTAAAACCCTGAAGCCAAAATCCTAACCCCCCCGAACCCCCAAAACTCTAAACCCCCTGAACCCATAATCCGATAGAGCCCGAAAGCAATGTGGGTTGTTGTCAAAATTAGGGTTGCTTTCTGGGTACCCTAAATATTAGGTGCCGTACTCTAATAGGGACAGGAAAAGGCCTGTCTGACTTTCGTCGTCGGGAGCAGTCGCCCTGTTGGTTGTATGTAGGCCGCCAGCCAAGAAGAGGAAATATCGCCAGGGTCTTGACGGAGCAGTGCTCATGGCTGTGAGGTATGTATTTGCAGTATCTTTCCCTTTGCCAAGGAGGCTTTGCAAGCGCCGAAGTCAGAAGCATCAAAAGGAATACAGCGAGGCGCTTGCAAAAGATATAGCAAATATAGAGACTCACGTCAGTCATCGCTGTAGTTTTCCAGTGCTTTGGCAGCACAATCATGGAGGTGCCAGCGCCGAACACCCCGAGCCCAGCCAATCCGGATGGTCCTGGTGTGGATGAGTCTGCTGTTGACACTGAAGGGACCATAATTTTGACAACTCTAAACCCTAAACCCTTTGTAGAACCCTTATAGTACCCTTATAGTAACCCTTTAAAGGAACCCCCAAAACAAAGGGACCCTAATTTTGTGTTTTTTTTGTTGCGAGATGGCCGAATGGGACGGGACGAATGGGGAGACGGCGATCGGCCACGAGGCTGGGTCTTGAAGTTTGTTGCGTTTAGGGTTCTTTATTTGGGGGGGTCTTCAAGTTTATCGTTTCGGGTTTCGGGTTCAGAGGTTTGGCGGGGGTCTTTAAGTTTGTTGTTTAAGGTTTAGTTATGATGAGGTTTTTAGGGCTCAAAGTGAACATTAGACTTTGGCAAGCCTACGGACAGCATGCCGAGGGTTTGGGTCCAAGGTGTTGGGTTGTCTGAGAGCTTGGCAAAGGATTCGGTTCAGGGTTTGGGGTCTGTAAAGTCTGAGGAGTCCGTGGTTCGAGTTTAGGGGTTTGGGGGTTCAGGGTTTAGGGGTTTAGAGTTTAGGGGTTTGGGGGTTCAGGGTTTAGGGGTTTAGAGTTTAGGGGTTTGGGGGTTCAGGGTTTAGGGGTTTAGAGTTTAGGGGTTTGGGGGTTTAGGGTTTAGGGCTAAGCAGATCGATTCGGTTTCCATGGCTGCAGTCCGTCAGGGTCTTAGGCTGCGGAAGTGAAGGAGTTCTGCCTCCGGGCTGAGGGTACTTGGAGGATCATGGGACTTAGTAAGTAAGCTTAAAAGTACCTTAAGTGGGGTTATAAGTAGTTATAAGTATATTTACCTTAGTTAAGTCCCATGACCCTCTAAGTAGAGTGTTTAGGGATCAGCGGCTTTTCGTGCTTCCGTCGAGATTAGGTGAGGGCTTTAAGTTTGAAGTTTCGGCCGATTTTTGAAGCTCTTGGCTGGTACGTACATTACGGAGGTGTTTCAAGAGGAAAGTACTAAAGAACCTTGAAAATGACAAGATATAGTACCTGAGGATGAAGAGGCTATTGAGTTTAAGAGTCCTCACTTTGCCAAGCTGGTTAGTCATGTAAGGCAACAGAAGCAGAAAGGACGAAACCGTTGACTTTCATGCAAGCATAAAGAGTAAAACAACAACAACAACAACAACAACAACAACAACAGCAACAACAACAACACCAACAACAACATGATCACCACAACAACAGCGGTCAAGCAGATGGGTGGTGATTTTCATGCTCCCGCACTTGCTGAGCAACCCTGCATCGTACAGTATAGTGTAGACAGGTTCGTGAGCAGTGTTGAGGGACGGTGTGGGAGCTAGGGTCTCGGGGTTATGGCTGACTTGCAATCAAGCGGGGCCTACTACTTTGCTGACCCTGTAGCCCGAAGCCTCCATGCACCCTCATAGTAGATGCTTAGGCCTTAAAGGGGTCCCTATAAAGGTACTGTAAGGCCGAAGTATAGACTATATGGGTACATGGCGTCATTCATCCACGACGGGCGCCGACTGCCGGAGGCCGTCCCTGGCGACCGGTTTGCGACGAAATCCAAGGCGCTTTACAAGGGTAAGGGTGCAGCAGCTTGAGTTTGTGCACGCTGTGGATTGTGTTGAGTGCAGGTAGTACTCCTTGGAAAGATATGCGTGATTTTTGTTGATGGTATGTGCATATGCATATATACGCATTTGTATGTATGTATGTATGTATGTATGTATGTATGTATGTATGTATGTATGTGTGTATGTGTGTATGTGTGTATGTATGTATGTATGTATGTATGCATTGCATGTATGCATGTATGTCTGTAGATCTGTATGTCTGTATGTCTGTATGTATGTAGGCAATGTATATACACATACATATTACATTACAGGTACAAATTTCTACACACATATATATATATATATATATGTGTATATATGTATACACACACACCTTTTTGTGTAAATGCAGCTTTAAAATGCAGATGCTGATATTGTTTGTAACGTTCATGTTCATTTGAACACAATTTTTTTATGATGTCCTAACTCGTGGGGTTTCGGTAACTGGGCATTTATGCTTACCTTCCCAGCCTTAGCCTCAACAGGAATAGCACCAGTAATGCTCAACACAGTCAGGTGGCGGTGTTAGTGTTAGTAGCATCAAGTCTACGCTATGAATAGTGGGCTCCGGCGCACATAGTAGTACGTGTGAAGGCACCTTTCGGTTCTTGAGAGATCACCTTAAACCGTTGTTTGAAATATCGTAGGGGGCTGCACGGCGCAAGTTGTCGGATCCTGGAAGGTGTATGTGTTTCAGGTTCTTGATTCCAATATTAGCAGAATATCACCCCAAAACAGAAAATTCTCATGAATTTTTAGGGTGCAACTTGTGGTCCCTAACTATACGCTCTAAACCCTACCTAGACCCTATAAGCCCTTCCCTTATTGAGATTTCCTTGCATGAGTCCTTGAAAAGGTCGGTTATTCGGGTTAAGGTAAGCCCAAGCATTGCCTGATTCCAGGCGCTGCAGGCCCTTCTGCGGAACCTTTCCTCGAGCTCGCAGCCAAAGGTGACCTCTGGAGCGCTACCACAGGCCGGATTTGTTGGGCTTCAGGGTTTCGGTCAGTAAGGGTGTCGAGACTAATAGGCTTTCGGGTTTCAGGTGTTTTTAAAACTTTTGAGAGTTTCATGTTTGTGGTGGTTTCGTGTTTCAGGCAGTAAGTTTAGGGTTTAGCGTTCCGGTCCAGAGCTTTTGGTTTTGGTGGTTGAAGGGTTTATAAGAGTGAAGCTGCTGGGACTCGTGGTTTCTGCAAAGATGTTCTAGAGTTGCGTGGTTTTCGCATATTTTCGAAAGTGCTGAAGAGTGTAGGAAGTGGGCATTCTGGGGCTCAGGGCGTGGGCTTTCGGGGCTCTAGTGACTCTAGTGAGGGCGATTGATTCTGTAAGAGCTGGAAGGGTCATTGTTACTGGCTTTGCCTGTTGCTGCTGCTGCTGCTGCTGCTGCTGCCATTCTTCTTCATGATATTCATTGTTGTTGTTTAAACCCGAACCACGGAGCCCCCAAAACAGTTTCAGTTTAAGCGTTGAGCCTGAACCCTAAACTGGAACCCCCTCATGCTTCAATGAACATGGAGCTGTTGGAGACTATCGTCCTTCAGACATGGGGCTGCGTCTACATGGTGGTTTCATGCTAGTTTCATGGAGGGTAGGCCCTGCATGTAGTTCCGAACGCAATCAATGAACCTCAGCCTTAAGCATCCTTAAGCAATCACCTGCTCCCCCATACAGATGGGAACAATGTGGTCCATGCACATATTCGGTGCAGATACGGGCTATCGCTGGTGCTACTGCAGCTGCCAGTACTACCTCTCATAAGTCAAGCCCTACCTTCTGAAAGTTTTACGCTGACGCCATGGTAGATCCCCCATGCAAGCCTTATTGCATTGAATACCCAGCGTCCTGGAGTACGCACCCTCAACTCAACTCCCTCTGAAAAGAGGCTCCTTGTCTCTGCCCCTTCCCCGCCCTGCCTGCCCTGCCCTGACAGGCCATGCCCTGCCGAAACGCCTTCACTGCAAGCTTGAAGAGATAGAGAAAACCATGGAGTGAGTTTAGTGCTCCACAATCAGGCTCCAACGGAAAATCGTCATACCACGACGCACTCGCAATTACCCTGAGGCAAGCGATTTTTCCGCTTATGCGCCACTCTACGGCAAACCCAAATCCCTGAACTCAAAGACCTAAACCCTAAACCCTAATCCCCTAAACCCTAAACCTTAAACCCCAATCCCTGAACCCTAAACCCTAAACCCGAAGAAGTCTGGGCTCGGGAAGTTCTCTTCGAGCTTTGCTGGCCAGGCGCTTGCGCCGCTCATCGGAGGAAACTGTAAGCCGTTCCTTCTCTGCACCGCCCGGCCCTTAGGCCCAGACCTTCCAAAAATCCCTTAATTAAGGAATATCAGGAATATCCCTTAAATTATAGTAGGATCCTTAATACGGGGGGATCTAATCTAGGGGCTTTTTAGTAATTTTGAGTAGGGTTCCCTTTAAAGGGGTTGTTTTGGGGGTTCCTTACCTACTATAACCAAAGTATGCTATACCCCCGAGTCTCAGGGATCTAAGATGAAGGATTCTTTTTCAATTAGATTAGGGTTCCCTTTAAAGGGCTCTTTGAGGGTACTATACGGGTTACGATAAGGGGTCTAGAAGGGTACTATATAATGTAGGGGCCTTTTGGCAATTTGAATAGGGTTTCGGGGGTTCCTTACTATAACTAAAGTATACCGTACTCCCAAACCCTAGTCAGATGAGTACTACAGTAAGGCCCCTATATCAAGGCGAAGGGTTCCCCCTAAGACCTCGGCTTTTGGGGATATTAGGTGAAGGGTTTCTAAGAAACTCCCTAAACTCTCAATCAGCAATAGATTACAGTAGAAGTCAAAAAGTCGGAAACCCGACAGCCTCAATCACTAAGAGTAAAGTATAGGGAATCCCAGCACTATTTAACCTTAATTAGGTTTCCAACTAAGTGTTGAGGGGTTGGGTTTATGTTTGGCTTTGGTTTGTGAAGTGACAGGGGGCACCCTACTAAACCCTGAACTCAAAGATCTAAACCCTAACATGGTTTATGAAGTTCCGGCGACGGGCCTGCCTGCTAGGGCTTCATATGTCGCCTGCCGTTTCTGTAAAGTTGGCTTAGGGTTTAGGGGCTACCTGGGTTGTGAGGCTGGTGTAGAGGATTTTCTGCCTGTGGTTCACTTTTTGGTTTCTGGTTTAGAGCTGGTAGGACTCAGCTGTATGGTTCTGCTTTGGTGTGTCAAACAGGGGTGGAGCTGCTTGTGGTCTGCAAGGGTTCGAAGCATGGCGGATTTGCTTAGGCCCTTACTCCCGGATCTAGGGCTGCACACCATGCTCTGAAATGTCTGGTGGGTTCCGGTGGTCCTTAGGCCTTCTGCATCAAGTTTCATGTGGATTTTTAGAGTAAGAACCCTTAAAGCCCAAGGGCTCTATGTGGGTGGTTGTCAAAATTAGGGTCCCTTTTGGGGTCCTGAATAAAAAGCGGCACCTAATATCTAGGGTACCCGAAAAGGGAGCCTAATTTTGACAACACCCATGTACGGAGAGCCTGTTCCCCTGTTCTGGGTACACGGGGCTTGTCGATGTTTGTGGCAAGGTGAAGAAGGATTGCAAAACTTGATTAAATGTAATCCCAGAGGGGCCAAGTACCCACAAATAGTAGGGTTTTAGGTCCCGGAATCCTTACTCTGAATGGGTTTTTGGACTTTGAAACCTGCTCTTTGGGTACTTGGACCCTCCGGGAATGGCATCTAATCACACCCTACACGTATTACAGGCACCAGAAGGCGAGCGCAACACCCTAACCCCCAAGCCCCTGAACCCTAAAGCCCCTAAACCCCAAGCCCTATAAACCCTGAAGCCATAAATCATTAAAGCAAGCCTTAGTGGAAGCCTGCCCTGGTCCTAGAGTATGAACACCGTGTAACACTTGTAGCACCCTAACCCCATACCCCCAAACCCCCAACCCCTGAACCCAAAAACCAAAGCGCAAAACCCCAAACCCCAGTCTTAAAGCAGCCCTTATCGTAGGCCATAGAAAGCCTTATAGTAATCCTTATAGTAGCCCTTTTGGTAGCCCTTATTGTAACCCTTCTGGTAAGCCTTATGGTATGGTAGCCTTATTAGTAACCCTTTCTAGTGTGCCTTAAAGGATTCCGTAAACGCGTTTAGGTGCCGGAGCAACCTGGCAAAGTCTTTCCGGAGGCCGTGGCGGGGTGGTTTTGGGTTTTGGGGGGTTTCAGGGTTCAGGGTTTAGAGTTTAGGGCTGAATGGGTTTATGCTTATAGGTTCAGAGGGTTTATAGGGTTCACGGTTTAGGGGTTCAGGGGTTTAGGGTTTAGGGTGTAGGAGTTTAACTAGGGTGTATAGGCTTTAGTGCTTGCCGTGACTTCCGGGAGCAATTTTTTTGGGGGGTTCCCTTAAAGAGAACCTTAAAGGAATCCTTTTCAGGGGGGGTTCATCAATTCGGTTCCTTGGAAGCCGTGGGGGTTGGTTCCTTTTTGCTCTGGGTTCCTTTAAGGGAAGGGCTACTACAAGGGTTACTAGAAGGGCTAGTATACGCTTTATTATAAGGCTTGCTTTGAGGCTTACTATAAGGGCTGCTTTAAGGGTTCCTTTCGGTTCCTATCAGGGAATAGCAGTTGCTAGGGATGCACTGTACTATGAGTTGAGGAGACAAGCGATGGGGTTTTGGGGGCTCAGGATATCAGTGTTCGGGCTCGAAACTGATAGGGATCACCCTTTCACGCATTTCCTGCCAATGACTGTGGAAGGTGTCGGAGCTGGCTCTCAGCTGGCAGTTTTTCAAGAATGCTGGCAAGATGACACAGTGTCGGAGGCTGCAAAAGAGACTGGCACTGCCACCGTGGACGAAGCTGGGAAGGTCGCGCGAGTTTTGCTCCACTGCCAGGCTGTTGCCATCAAGGTCTTCGAGATAGGACTGGCGCACAACATTGTCGCAGAGAGACTTCATACAACCGTAAGCATCGCACCCTTCCAGGATTGTCAGCTTTTCCCCTGGCTTCTGGACCCAGAGACTCCAATACCCCTTAATTAAGGAATATACCCCAAATATGCTTTAGGTATATTCCTTAATGTATTGGAGTATCTGGGGGCCTGTGCTGCCGAAGCGGTGTCCTTTCCTCATGCTGCGTTCCAACTGGGCGGCCCCTCCATGGAAACATTGCTTTTCGTCCAAGCCCAAGACCTTTCCTAGGCTTCCTTTAGTCTATAAGGGCTACTATAAGGGATCTATAAGGGTTACTATAAGGGATCGTCTATAATGGTACCATAATATCGGGGCCTTATAAAAATAGTTAGCTACTCTATTTCGTGGCCACGTTTGGTCTCTGGCAAGCCATTTATGCCGAGGTCCTCAAGTTCTGCATGCGGACGCCAAACTTCCCTCACCTAGATAGTGAGGATATCAGGGTCTAGGGCTAGGGTTCAGGATATTTAGGGTTCAGGAACTTGGGGTTCTATATTTTCAGGAAGTTACAGCTGCGGCATTAAGGTCCAGGATATCAGGGTCCTAGTTTTGTGCCTTATCGAGCCTCACAAGTGTTCGCCACACAGTTTCAATCCGTCTTTGGGTGGATCCTGCATCGGGGCCCCGGCAAAAGCAAACAAGCACAGAAGGCGCACACACGCATATACATGCATATATGTGTATGTAAACTAAATATCATATATAAATATGTTCATATTTATTTATGTTTACATTTATATGTATGTGTGTAAACATATGTATATATATATATATATACACATACATACATACATACATACATACATACATACATACACACATATATATATATATATATATATGTGTGTGTGTGTACACACGTATATCTATGTCTATGACTGTGTGTATGCATATACGTATGCATATATGTATATGTATGTGTATATGTGTATGCATGTGTACATGTATGGGTATATGTATATGTACAAGTAATGAGATGTATACGTATACGTAATATGTATCTGTATATGTTTAGTTTTCAAGTACAGCTACATATCACTGCTCAGGTCTTTTTGATCCCCCTTCTAGGAGTCTCAATGCCGAAATTGAGGACCCATATGTTCATCTGATCCTTGGCACCGCGGGCAAGACGCATTCTTAGGTTTCTGAGAAAGACGGGCGCAAGTGCAGACATGCTCATGCCGAACCTTACCCGAAACCTTAAACTCGGAGCCTCTTGCACTAACCCTGCCCAGAGGCCCCAAAGTAGTTCTTTTTGCCTAGCGGGTTCACTTTCGGGGGTGGTTTTTCCTGTTGTTTATGTGCCTTTGTATGCCCTTCTCCTTCGCACGGCCCTTCCGGCACATGGAAAACACCGCCCAGCGCGAGGTTTTCGCCTTGTTACATGTGTTCCGCTCTTGGTAGCCGAGTGTTTTGTCTGATTCGCGCTGTCTTTGTGTTTTGCACCAAAAACGACGTCGTTTTTGGTAGTACATTTTCGGTTGCGAATTCGTCGGAACATCGCAAAACGTGGCCTGCGTACTGTATTCCTGACTTTCTGCAGGCATGTTTTTGGGATGTCTGCCGCTTTGCGTTTTCTGCGTTTTATGCTTCGTTGCTGCTTTCGGTCATGTGCTCTGCTTGCTCTTTGGGGGGGGGGGGGGGGGGGGGGGGGGGGGGGGGGGGGGGGGGGGGGGGGTGGGAGTAATGACGTTCTGTTCAAGCGAACACAAATCAAGCTGCGAAGCTCCCTGTGCAAGCGTGCTACTGACAGGAAACAGAACAACGAAGAAACATGGGAACCCCGACTCACACGAGATACGCGAACACAAATCAAGCTCCAAACTTCCCTGAACTTTTCTGCGTTGTTTGCGTCGATTTTGTTTTCGGTCATGTGCTCTGCTTGCTCTTTGGGGGGGTGGGGGTGGGGGGGTGGGGGTGGGGGGGTGGGGGGTGGGGGGGTGGGGTGGGGGGGAGTAATGACGTTCTGTTCAAGCGAACACAAATCAAGCTGCGAAGTTCCCTACGCACAGCCAAGGGTTTGGCATGTTCTACAGCCTGAACTCCAAACAACTGCATTACATCAGCATCGTCATCATCACTGCCGGCATCACCATCATCATCATCACCATCATCATCATCACCCACCATCATCATCATCATCACTACACACCACGTGCATTACATACAACTCAGTAATAGCAATCCCCAGAACAACCAGTTATCACTACACACGAAACAAGTTCACGATACATGCTATCCCAAACCCCTGCCCATAAAAGTTTTTTCCCAGTACGTAAAAACACCGAACCCCGAAAAAACCGATACAAAACCACCCCCGAAAGTGAACCCGCAGGGTCTTTTTGGGATTACCTTGTAGGGTTCTATATTTGAACCCAAAAGGAACTACTTTGGGGCCTTAGGGTAAGCCTCGCGCCCCGAAGTCCAAATCTCCGAAGAAGTGAAAGAAGAAAGCTGCAAGCAACAATTGCTGAATCACACGGATGGTAACCCCTTACCAAAACCATCCACGACCCTCCGCCCAAAACTCTATAGGCCCTTGCAGAGATAAGATGGAAGCCAACGTAAATAACCAATAATATTTCCTTACAGGGTTCCTAATTAAAAATCTACTATAGAGCAGCCCAAAACCCTATTCTAATTATTAAGGCCCCTATACTAAATCCTTATCCTAGCCCCTATACTAACCCTTAAAGACCCGTGAAAAGAATCCTTTCAAGGAGCCCTATTCTAGTATTAGGGCCCCCGCATTAGGTTCGCGATCTCCTAGACGTGGCCGAGCGTGCCTCCCTGCTAATCACCGCTCAGTGCAAGCGAGTGCAGGCCGACAGAAGAGGGTTCAGGGTTTAGGGTTTAGAGTTGCGGGTTTAGGGGTTTAGGGTTTAGGGGTTCAGGGTTTAGGTGTAGAGTTTAGGGTTCAGCTGTTCGGGATCGAGCAGTTTCTAGAGTCAAGCTAGCGGCTGTCGATTTAGAGAAAAACACCACCCGCCCAAAGAAGCCCATAACATCAGGAAATACAAACTCTGAAGCAGAAAACCTAAGGCCGAAAGATGAAGTCCGAAACCCGAAGCCGAAACCTTAAGGTTGAAACCTTAAGCCCGAAGCCGAAACGCTAAGGCCGAAACACTAAGGCCGCAACCCCAAGGCCGAAACCCTAAAAGCGGCAATCGCATGGCCTTGCCGACGAATTTTGGGGCCTTGCCGTTGGGAATTGCCGACGAATTTTCGGGCCTTGCCGACGCATTTTCGGGCCTTGCCGACGAGTTTTCGGCCCTTGCCGACGAATTGTCGGGCCTTGCCGACGAACTTCATTCAGGTTTCGATTTCTATATGTGACAGAGAGGTGAAGGGTTTAGGGCTTAGGGTTGCGCAGTATGGGATCCTGTATGTACGGGGGTGCCAAGAGCTCCGTACAGGTTTTATGAGGTTTTAAAAGGCGTCTATAGGGTTCCTTAAAGGGATCTACAGGGTTCCTTAAAGGGATCTATAGGGTTCCTTGAAGGGATCTATAGGGTTCCTTAAAGGGATCTATGGGGTTCCTTGTAGTGTGTGTTGTTGGAGGGTTTTACCGTTTGGAGTGCAGGGTTTCGGTGTTTAGTGTGGTCGGGTTTGAAGGCATGCACTAGATGGTCCTGTGGTGCCGGAATAGAGCCAGATGAAAAGATTGATGCCCCATCGGACAGAATCTACACAACCTGGGCTCGGGGCGATAACATCCCTTCCTGGTAATGCCAACGTCTTTGCTGGCACATGCCAAGATGTGGTGAAACAGAGTGCATCTCGTTTGAGTTGAAAGAAAAGATGTTGGTGATGCGGATGATACATATGCTGGGTTCTGTTGTAATGATGACATCTTTCATCAACATTGCCTTCCGCACTTTGGCAGCCATCATTCTGGGGCATGGCCATCAATTTTTTGACTTCGGATCTCGCTTCGAACGAATGGTCATGTGGATGATTCTTACCCTCATCCACGTCCATGCACATGCTGCAAGAAATGATGGCATGTATGTCGTCGTTGCTGCACGCATGCACGGTACATACGTGTATGTAGTTGTGGCTTTTTATGTGTCGTACATGAGTACTACTTGTGATTATCGTCAGCCCCCTCCCCCCTCCTCAGTTATTCGCGATCCCCGTTGTCGCAACCAACACCATCGCCAGCAATTACTACAGTACCACCACCACCGCCCATTGCAGTCCACGCACGGTCCCATATCCGCGCCTTGTTACTAAAACTGGTTTGAATCCTTAAATCATCGATGCCTAGCCCAACCCTGAAATCTCTAACCCTTCCCATTGGAGGGCCTCCCGGCGGATGCATTCCGCCTGGCGGACGCAAGTCAAGGGTTGCTTTGCAGGCCGGTTTTGGAGCAAGATGTCCTGGCATCAGGTCTTAGGTGTTTAGGGTTTAGGCTAGTTTAAGGTGTATGTTTGGCTTGGGGCTTGAAGAAATGCTTGGGGTTCGAAGTCATGGGAGTTTCAGCCAGGCTCCGTGCCTCATGTTGGACACTGCAAAGCACCTTGGTGCAGTTTGCGACTTGCGGCAGCAGTCAATGTACCTATACTCGCTTGTGGGCTAACTAGTCTCCTTCAGTAGCTGGAGGATATGAGTATGATCTGAGCAACGCGGAGTGTCAATTTTAGGCAGAAACTCACCTGCCTACTCTTGCTGCCTAGGACTCAGGAAAGTGAAGCCAGAAACCCCAGATCCTGGCCCTAAGTTAGGTGCTCCTGTTCACGAGAACGGATATGGAAGTCTCCGAAAAAATTAGGGGTACCTTATTCTGGGGTCCTTATAATAAGGATCCTATTGTTTCGGGTACTATATTAGCGTATTTTCGGAAAGTCTCCTTTGCCCAAGGTTTAGCAGTCATCTGTAGGATCCTCGGATCCTCACTACGCAGGGCGAGCCCCTGAAATGCTGGGTCTCCGAACTCCGTCCCAGCATATTAGGATAATTTGGGGCAGGGTCTGCAGTGTTAGCTAACTGTTAGTGCAGAAGCTTAAGTATATTTACTGAGAATTACGATATCTCTGAGGGTTCCCATATTAGTATAAGATATCGCCGAAACCCCGTTCAAGTCGGTTGAATTAGTGAGACGCCTTCCGAACTGCTACTACTTCACAAGCGACGCTTCAGGACTGCCGCCAGAGCTCCGCGTGCAGACGAAGGCATGTGGGTGGTTGTCAAAATTATGGTCGCTTTTTGGGTCCATACTACAATACGGCACCTAATGTTCAGGGTGCCCAAAAAGGAGCCATAATTCTGACAACTACCCACATTGGCTTTGAGATGAAGGGGACAAGCAATCCTGTATCGCCCCCCCCAGAAAGCCCAGAGCAGGGACTTTACACGCGGCTTACGTAGTGTACCACAGTGTTACGTCGTGCATCTTTGAATTGTTCAAGTTTGACGTTGGTGCTTCATGTCAGAGAACCGTGGCGGCAAAAATGCTGCTCATTGATTCTACAGGGCACCCCCGAAAAATGGGATAGGGATATAAACTACCTGAAAACGACCACAAAAGTTAATTATGCATCTGTCCCTTTCGGGGGCCCCTAGTGTGATTACCAACTTCAGTGGGCTTAGGCCGCAACATACCAACTTCTGCCCTAAACCCCAAACCCGAAACACTACAAGCAGCAGAACATTTCTACCCTCAAAAGCCCCAGGGACCATCCTACATCAAATGCCAACGAAAGGCTTTTCCCTTCCACGGCCGGCTCACAGCCCACAGAGGACCGAGCGCAGCTTTCGAAACTTAGGGTTTAGGGGTTTTGGGTTTTGGGCTCAGGGGTTTAGGGTTTAGGGTTTGCGATAGGGCTTCGGAGTTTTATTGTGAAGACTTTTTGGGTTGAGTTTTTTTGGACGGTATGGGTCGCTTCTAGGCGTATTTTATCGCCAAGGCTGCGGTTGGCAGTTTCCATAAATCCGGATAAACCCTAAAGCCCGATGACACCACACGACATGTCCTTCTCCTCCAACTGCATGTTATAGATCGTATTTGTATACGTACATGTATATGGATATGTATATACTTATTATGTTGGCTTATGTATATATGTACTGATGTCTTTCTTCTTTATCATCGATCAGTTTATTCAGTTTTTTGTTGTTCAACTTGTTTGTTTGTTTGTTTGTTTGTTTGCGTGTTTGTTTTTCGTTGACGTGTTTTGTTTTAAATTTTTCGTTTGGATAATATATACGTATATGTATGTATATATATATATACACACACATATTACAAAATGTTGGTTCAGGATGAGGAGAGCACTGTTGAGTTCGGCATGAAGTTCGTGAGGATAATGGAGAGGTGTCGGTGTCCTGCCTTGTATCAACGGCTCACGATATTTCCCAGCACCTTACTAAGCGACACTCATATACCGAATATATGCCTTTGTCCCAAGGTCGGTTTCTAGTATTTGGCTTGCGTCGCCTCCATCTTCGGAGTCTCCTGATCCTTCAAGCAGGGCATATCTAAGGGCATTCTTTGGTGAAGTCCTGGCGTTCAGGGTTTTTGGGGTCTTCCCACAAATCCAAACTCTAAGCCCTACCCCAGAGACTCTATGCAGGACGGGAGCACCTGTAGCACTGTAGCGCAGAGCAGGCACTCAGCCATCCACGCAAGAAACAGGCGTCAGCTTTGCACGATGGTCTAGAGAGCGAGCTTTGCATGATGGTCTGGAAAACCTGAAGCATGAAAGAACGTTGCAAATGCGCTGCGCCCCGGAAGAATGCCTGGCTCACGTCTTTTTGTTGCTGCAAATTCCCTCGACTCTAAACCCTAAATCCCTATAAACCCCATAAGCCCTAAACCCGAGCCCCGGCGCGATCCACCCCCAAGCCGGGGCCAGGGGCCTTGAGGTTTCCTTATTATAGTTATATAGTATATTATAGTTATATAGTATATTATAGTTATATAGTATATTATAGTTATATAGTATAATAGCGCCCCAAAACCCTAGTCGAATGATTCAGGCCCCTGTATTGCTCTCACTACACGATGTCCTCAGCCATGTTGTTGGCATGGTCTCTTTTTCGCCGTGTATGTGCCGTACACTGTCATCCACAATGCGATGTGCCGGCTTCTCCGTCAAGGGCTCATTCTTCGTGTAAACCACCAGTCGATTCAGCTGCTGTGCTCTGGACATGTTGGCCATTGACCATGGTACCTGTTATGCAAAGACGGATTGCCGGACAAGCCAACTGGACTCCCGCCAACTCCCCATTCACAGCACGATCGCCTGCTAATGCCCTGAACGTGCTCCTTTCGCTCGTAAGTGAAACAGATTTTTCTTGCACCAAAGATTTTTGCAAATCTATTGAGAAGGACGTCCTCGTCCTTACCAATAACCAGTTTACACTGAACAAAATCTCCACCCGTCCTCCCCAAATTTATGTTGTTGCATACACAGATGGCTCATGTCCCAACAACCGCGTTCGATGGTGGCCTCAGGTGATATGGGTACTGTTCCACCAGGCTCTTGAATACATTCATTTTATACATTACTGGGTTGTCCTTTGGGATCTTTTTCAATATCCCCAACTATTCTGTAGAGAACCATCATAGTAGATAATTTTCAAAGGGCTTGAAGGACAGGTTTAGTGTGTAGGGTGCAGGGTTTAGGGTTTAGGGTTCAGGGTTTTGGGTTTAGGGTTCAGGGTTTTGGGTTTAGGGTTTAGGGTTCAGTGGGTGTAGGTAAAACCTACCTGAACCCTAAATGCCCTACAATTTTGGAGTTTCCTTGTTACGACTTCCTTATACAATTCCTGCAAACAAAGACAGGTCATTGGGATCAAGGTACCAACACCCTGAACCCCTATCCCTAAGGTGTTTAGGGGTTTTGAGTTTAACTCTGACGCTCTGAATTGCAACCTAGGCCGGTTACCCTACACCTTAAGCCCTACTCTAAGCCCTTGCAGGAGAGAACCTACCACGGCTTTTGACATACCTCCTGCTCTTCGAGGTTCGGGAAGACATTATCAAAGGGGAAAAGGAGGGACCCTTAGTAAGGACCCCCAGGTATGTACCCAATAGAGCTATTATATACCCACTATATAGCCCATTATAGGGTAGGGGTCCCCATTAAGGGTCCCTCCATTTCCCCTTTGACATTATGTTAGGGTTTAGGGGCTTGGGTTCAGGGATTTGGGCTTAACTTTTCAGGGTTCCTTATACCCTAAACCCTAAAGCCTAAACCTCTAAACCCTAAATCGTCCAGGTCGGGTTTCGGGTTTAGGCCGTTCTGCCCTAAACGCTGTGTGACCTAGACTCCCGTCCTCAAGGCTTTCTACTGGGAGGATCATGGGACTTAGGAAGTTGTTCTTCCAGTGCCTGTACGATCACCGGAAGAGCTTGGCTTTTCCCTTATTTTTGTTGTTTCATTCTTCTTCCTTCTACTTAACGTACTTTGACACAGGCATGTACCCTGCACCAAGCTCACCACCATTTGCAGGTCTGGGCGGGTTTGGAGCACATGGATTAACTGAATCACGCTCTGGCACCGAGTTACCCCGGCGTTCGGGTCGTTCGGGCACACCATCAACCAAGCCTCGTCTGGACGGCCTCGTCGGGTCCCACTCTTCGACCCTTGTGGCGAGCAAAGCGACAAAAGCGTCTCTTGGTGTTGATGAGGGAGATGCTCAATTCCCAACAGAGGCATCAGGTGACCCTCTCCTACTGGCAAGGCCTGCCGAAGATGACAATGGCCTAGTTCTGTCGTTCGTGTATCACCTTGTCACATCCTTTCTGGTTGCACAAACTCAGGGCTTGGGAACCACAGCCTGAGGGGTCCTAGGCTTTCTGTTTTTCTAGATCGCACAGTAGGAGTAGTAGTAGTAGTAGTAGTAGTAGTAGTAGTAGTAGTAGTAGTAGTTGAAAGGATCCTCGTAGGGCTCCGCAAGCGGATCCTCAAAGGGATTTATAAGGGTTCTATAGTTAAAGGGGGGGTATGGGACGTAATAAGTAAGTAAGGTTATCCATACCCTAAGTGGGGTTATAAGTAGTTTGAACCAAAATGATAGCCCTAGTTACTAACTAAATCCCATGAGACACTGGCCTCTTTTAGTGCAGACCGAAAGACGAGTTTCCCGTACTCCGTATTGCCTCGTGGTTTTCCCAGCTCTCTTGAACAATCTCTACTAAACCCTAAACCCCAAGCCCTAATCCCTCGAAATCCTTTCATCCAATGTTTCGAGATGTCCAAAGGCTAACACTCATGATTGAGGCAACTTGTTCCGGTAAGTTGTCTTCCCGTACAAGCCTAAACGTCACAAGTTTGGGGTTTAGGGTTTATAGTCATAAGCCCGGGATCGTAAACAAATCCAACGGTCTGCTGCCCTCCAGGTGTGCCTCCACCACCGAGCCCTCGGCACGATCTCTCCGATGTGGTGAGATTCGAGAGGTAAGGGTTCCGGGTTGCGTTTATGCGACTTCTCAGGTTTCGAGTCGTTTAGGGTTTGTGCTGAGTGTTTGGGCTTTTGGCTAATGTCCTTGCGGGTTTTGTAAGTGTCCGGACACCTGCAAACCCCTTGGCTGATGCGGGGTTGAGGGTTTAGGATGGTGGAGGCCCTCGGTGGTTTTCTGGTGTTTTTGTTATCGAATATCGGCCTTGATCCGGTTTTGCAAGGCTTGGTGGAATTGTTCCAAGGCTTGTCGCAGGTCTTCTTTGTGATCGGATTGCGGGCTTCCAAGGGTTTTCCCTTCAGTTGCTGCTATAAGTATATCAGGATATACACCGCAGGAAGCTTATCCTACATATTAGTGCCCTTACATGAAGAGTTCTCCACACCGTATGTAAAGCTCAGCAATGCTAGCCATTAGAAACTTAGTATTTCGGATTTTGGGAGCACCTAGTCCTCAACCCCAATTCCGTGTGAATCCTGACGAAAGCCGCAGTAATCCTACTACAAAGCCTCTAAAACACAGCCTTCGTCTCTTCAGGCCGGCATCAGCGGGTGCCTCTCCCGTTTCGGATGCTGCTTGTCTCCACGGGGATGCGATCACGTGTGGGACATTTCGAGCCTTTTTGGGTGTTGTGTTGTGTTTAGGGTCTATAGATTAGGTACGGCCCCCTCTTAGTAATAGTTGAAGAATATTCTTAACAAAGATATAGTAGGACCTTAATAGTAGCCCTATTATAGACTCTTACTGTATGGGGGCCGTACTAATCTATAGATAGAGTCAAAACTTTAGCATGAGTGGGTGCGCAATGACGAGCGAGAGACTTGGACACCAGGGCATGCCCTGATGTTCGAAATGTCAAAAATGTCAGGGCCGTTGGGTTCACCCAATTTGTGAAGACCTGATGATAGGTTCCGTAACAACTGGAACAGGGTTTTCGGGTATACTATTACTAGCTTATCCGACCCTGTAGTAAGCTTCTTCGGTGTGAAGTTCCCAAGCCAAAACCCTCAGAGAATGGTATGTCCTATGCCCAAGAAGCCTTCACCGACATCACCCACAAGGCTGCAAGGGTATCACACCACATACTTCCCAAAACGAGGACCTGCAGTAGTACTGTCCGAAACCCCAGCTCATACACTTCCTGCATCACTTTAAGAACCCTAAACTATGGGAATTATGGTATATTCCTTATTATGGGTAATGCAGGATTTCTATCATCAACAGTAGTTTTCTTTGACCTTGGACCCAACCGGACCTCCAGGTCCAGCACAGATAAAAGCAGGGCCCCAGATCCCAAGTAGTCGTGTTTAGAGAGTTGTTTAAAGACCTGTAACTCAGCAACCGCCAGTTTGAAAACCGCCCGCAAAAACGATTAAAGCAAGTCATGAATAACCCTGCGCCAGCCCCGCTCCTTCACCGTCACTACTTTTCAAACTTGAGGTTGTGGCAAGTCTTAAAGGAACTCCCTTACTTTGCATGCGAGCGTGCGTGGTGCGTACGCGTGTGCTTGTGCGTGCGCGTGTTCGGGTGCGGGTGCAGGTGCGTGTGGGTGTGGGTTTGGGTGTGGGTGCTTGTTTGCTTGCTTGCTTGGGTGCTTCTTTCGCTGTTTGTTTGGTTGTGTGTTTGCGTGTTTGTTTCTTTCTTGTCCTTATTTCTTGCCTTCTTCCCGAATGTGAAAATCTTAACCCGAATGGCTAAATCCCACTCAGCCACGAACCCTAAACCGTGAACTCCATGTTTTTAGGGCATCTAGTTTCATGGTTCGGATCTGTTACATCGAAAAGTAGGTACTCCAAAACAGGTGGGGTATGACCTTGTAGGTACTTGAAGGCTCATGGCACTTAGCAAGTAAGGCTAAAAGTAGGTTGTAATTGGGATAACCTTACCGTACTTATAACTCAAATTATCCCCTAAACCCCTAAATCCTAAAGCCTAGACAAAATGGTTCAGACAAAATATGAAAACAACCTAAACAAAAACCTGGTCCATAAACCCTATAAACCCTGAACTCTAAACCCTAAGCTCTAAGCCCTAAGCCACAGATCCCTTTTAAAGGGACCCTTAGATAGACCGTAAACCCTGGTGCAGCTCAGAGGCCCGCAGCCCCTGCAAAGCCGAGAGTCCCAGGAGCCGATCTCGCGTTCCCCTTAAGGGTCCCTTTAAAAGCTACTATTTGCTTAAGAACCCCCAAAAAATAAAAAAATATATTCCTTATGGGGGTAATATAGGGATTACTATTTCTATTTTTTGGGTGTTTCTTAAGCAAATAGTAGAAAGGGATCTGTGGTGTAGGGCTTAGAGTTCAGGGTTCAGGGATTTAGGGTTTTTTTGGCATTTCGGGATTTAGGGTTTAGGGTATAGACTTTAGGGTTCAAGGGGTTCCTTTAAGGGCTCCTTCGAGGCGCCCCGGAGGCTCTGGGGCTTACTTAAAGGCTCATGGGACTTAGTAAGTAAGGTTACAAGTAGGTTATAATTAGGATAACCCCATTTAGGGGACTTATAACTCCAATTATAACCTACTTACTAAGTCCCACGATCCTCTAAGTAAGATTGGTAGGGTTCAGAGTTGGGGTTTGGGGTTATCTCGGGTTCCTTTTCGGGTTCGTAGGATCTGTTGGGGGAGGGTAGAGGCATAGGGTTTAGGCCTTGGGGTTTTGGGGATTCATAAGGTGATACTGTCGGGCATGGGGCTTACGTAGGATTTTGGGGTCACAAGTCGAAGGTTCAGGGTAGGCCTTATCACAAGGGCTCCTAAGGGTCACTACGATTATTAGGACTCCTAAATCGATTATGAGGGCTCCTACGGGGTTACTGCAACTTTAAGGGCTCCTAAGTTAGGACTGCAATTGTAAGGGCTCCTAAAAATCACTACGATTACATTGGCCTTAGCCTGCTGCAAATGCTCCTGTAAGAGGTTTGCGGTCGAAGGTTCATGAGGTGGGGCTTGCATCAGGGTTTAGGGTCGGGGTTGTAGTGACTGTATATCATGTTAGCTTCGACACAACTTATTTCATTCTGGGATTCTTACGAGAAGTGTGCTTAAGGTCCAGTTTTTTCGGTACAAGCTTGACGCCGGAAACCCACATGTGGACTTGCAGAAGCAAGTGGCAAAGGTTCGTGTCGAGTTCCTCAAATGCTTGTTTTCAAAACCCTGCAAAAAGGGGCCCTGGTAATCAGAATGTCGTTTTTTGGCGGTACTCTACTACAATTATAGTAATTATAAGGAGCCCTCAAAATCCTGTGAAAATCTTTACGGCCCATAATATGGTCAACACGCGTCTGCACCGCAAACCCCGAGCCCTCAGCTCGGGCCCCATGCTCTCATAGAATTAGTACTACAATGCGATTTTTCACCCCCCTCTTGTTATATGTCTCGGCCAGTATACATATCAGGAGTCAGGGGCTTCGGATACATCCCCAGTCTTCGCTACCTTGATTGGGACCCCAAGCAGCCGCCATGAGATGACCATGAGACCCCCCCCTGCATGCGCATGAAGGTCGTAACACCCTAACCGCAAGCAGGCCGTTAATTAATCCCGTATTCGCAGAATAAAGACGCTTGAACATCATGACGAACAGTATCCCCTGATGGTCCTTAAGTAGTTGCAGCATAATATACCCCAAAACCTTATTCTACATTGTAGAGGCGCCTACACTGCACCCATTAAAGAGCAGGCCGCATCCTGCCGGTCAAAGCCCCGGTGCTGGCGACGTTGATCGGGATTCTCCTGCAGGAAGCACCCTGGTTTAGGGTTGGGGTTTCGTGGTTCTCGGTTGACTTTGCGTTGGTTGGTGTATTTCCCTTCCTCCTTCCCATAATGGTTACAGGGGAGGGCGGCTCGCGCCTCAATAAGAACCTCTGAAAGTGTTTTTTGTGTATCATTATAGGGGTTAGCTTCTTTTGAGTCTCTTGCGCCTGACGCTGGCTTCTGCTCCTGCTCCTGCTGCGTCTTTTGCGCCGCTCCTGTGCTTGCTCTTGCTCCTGCTCTTGCCGTTAACTGTTGCTCCTTCTCTTGCTCCTGCCCTTGCTTTTGCTCCTGCTCTTGCCGTTGGTCTTGCTCCTGCTTGTGCTCCTCCTCATGCTCCTGCACCTGAACTGCCCTAATGCCAATTGGGTGTTAAAGGCGGAGGTAGTTAGAATCCACCATAGCCCACCTTGAGGGATTTATAGATAACCCTACTTAGAACTGAGCCTGAGCCTCCAATTACAAACCCTACGCCCTAAACCACTATAGTACGTAAGTTATACATCCCTTGTAGAAGCCCTTACGTATGCAAACTTCCTTTAAAGCAAGCCCTAACAAAGCCCGAACCCCTAAAGGATACTCCAAGTACCTGCAGTTCATCCCGCGTCGCCGTCGCAGGACCCGTGCCGTCTCAAGCCCCTGCAGCGGGCGAATCACAGCAGGTTCGACATAGCTGCATAAACAAGAGGACTGTGAGGGCATGGGGTTTCGGGTTTAGGGTTTTTCTAGGGTTTAGGGTCAAGGGTTTAGGGCTTAGGAGTTTGAAGGGTTCAGGCTTAGAGTTTACAGTAGGGTTCAGGGGTCCAGGGGTTTACCTGCATACGCCTTGTAAGACCCTTAACTTATCAAACTCGCACAGCCTTAGCCATGGCCCTTCTGAGCCCAGTTCTCAGACAGAAGAAGAGTCCCCCCGGGTTTAGGGTTTAGGGTTCAGGCTTTAGGGTTTAGTGTTTAGGGTTTAGTGTTTAGGGTTTAGTGTTTAGGGTTTAGGGTTTAGTGTTTAGGGTTTAGGGTTCCCCCCCAAACGCATGGAACACGTCGCCAGGTAGCTACCTCAGGTTCCTCCGAGCTTTTCCCCCCTGACGTTGCTGATGTGGTAGGCGTGCTGGCTCTCTCTAAACCCTAAACCCTGAGCCTTACAGGGTTCGTGGTTTCGGGTGGTCCTCTGATCCCTTGGTAGGACCTGCGGAACTCATCCTACCCATGAGATATAGTATTTAGGGTTTAGGGTAAAGGTATCAGAACAGTCTGACATTTGGAAAGTGGCTCGGGGTCGGGCAGGCAGTGTGGAGTTCATGCCTTAGTATGTATAGACCCCAAAAAGTCGGAAACTGGGTAATCCCCAAAAGGACCTACTTTGGGGCCTATGGGTAGGCATGTTGATGTACAGTTGCTAGGGTTTTTCAGGCTTTAGGTTGGAAGCATGTAAACGAAGAGGACGTGTAGCAGGGTTGGGCGCGCACCCTGAGGGTCCAAGCACGAAAAGAAAATTCAGATACTCTTCGACATACTAACCCACAAAACTACTATACTTACTATACTACTATCCTACATCCAAGTACCCAATCGAGTACAGCAACTGTCCTTGGACAATAAATATCGTGGTGTCCTAAATACATACCTATCTAGTCCCTCGGGGTAACTACCACTGCAGAAAGCTTTACCTACACGGCCTCACTTTGCGCCTCTACTGGTGTAGGGTTTATGGTTTATACGAGTTTTAGGTTTAGGATTTGGTTGGCTTTGACGGTTTAGCATACGACCAAGTCGGATATGATCCAATTGATTGGTCTCATTCTGTATTGTACGGTAATCTAACCTGACTCCCTGAAACCCTAAACCCTAAACCGAAAAGGTTTAGGGTTTAGGGTTTAATAAGGAAGCTTAGCATTGCATTCATGGGCCTGAAGGGTAGTTTGCTCGAGGTAGTATCGACGCACAGTTACAGTTTGGCCTCTTGAATTTAATTCAGAGCCATGACCAAGACCGAGCAGAAGAAAGCCGTCCAGTTCCCTGGCAATTGATGTTCTATGTGTACGTATTTTATTCATATAGAACTATACAAAAATTACTAAGGTTCTTATGGTGTTGGGTTTAGGGGTTAACTTGGAGTTCTGTAAGGCTGAGAGTTTAAGCTGTTTTTGGCCAATGATCTGGCTCAGAAAGGTTCACCCGCATGTGTAAATTTTGGCGGACCAATGAGTGCAAAATGGGGGCCGACTGCACGTTCGCACCTTTCCCATAGTTGGGCAACTTTTTACATGTTTATGGGTACTTCAACCCAACCAAGAATAAACACGTTCATAATCTAGATTTTCAACATTATCCCAACTAGACCCTAAACCCTAAACCCAAGAACTAGGCACACTCCACGTCGGAGTTGCGTCCCAGCCCGAAGCCTTGTTTTGACTTCGTGAAGAATGGCTTCCAGGCGGAACTGGAAACAGAATACTGGGACCTTTAGGGTTTAATTAGGGTTTAGGACCTCCGCGTTTAATGTTTGGGTAGATTAAACTTTCCTTATAAGACAAGGGACCCTTAAGGACTAGCATTATTCACTATTCAGGCTATTTTGGTATTTTCTGCTTCGCGTTCGGCCTTGCAAAGGTGCTTCTTCATAGATATTCATACTTATATGGTTTTAGGGGGCCCTCTAAGTGCAGCCAAGACCCAAACCATTGTCTTTAAGAGAGCAGTCTTTAGAGGTTTGGTCGCGCTGGCTGTTCTTGTCTAATATGATCGTATATGTATAGATGTCTCTATCCCTGCGTATGAACCCTAATATAGACTGTTACAGGGTGGGGGCACTATGCAGGATTTAGGGTTATTACTCTATAGGTATGCACCTTGAGCAAAACCCGTACGCTACAAACCCAGGCGTCAGACCATAAGCCCTGGATCCTAAACCTTGACCCACCCTAAACCCTAAACCGTAAACCCTAAAACCCTAAACCCTTGGACTCAAAACCCTACAACCGAGGCTTTTGCGCCCGGGGGCAGGCATGTCGGTTTGTGCACGAGCTCGGTCGCGACAAGTCGAAGACCAAGCTCGCGCAGATGCAATCTCTTCAGATGTTCCAACAATGGGCTGATACTGGGTTCTTGTTTAGGATCTTAGTTATAGTAAAGAAACCCTCTTTTTTCTATGGGTCCCTATTAGCCTGATATTAGTGGCTTTTGAACGAGGAAGTTATTTTTGAGGCTCTTGGCATCTTATGTCCTTTACATGTTTTATGGTTTGGGTTTTCATTAGGGAGCTACTTTGGGCTTTGTGATTTTATGGATCTAGTTTGTTTTGTGTACTGTCTCGGCCCTTATGAAGGAACTCGCTTTAAGGGCTTTTGTTGCTGTTGCTGTGGTTGGTGGTCGTGCCGGTGGTGTTGGCGTTGGTGTTGCTGCTGCTGCTGCTGCTGCTGCTGGTGTTGATGGTGGTGGCGGTGGTTGGCGGTTGCGGTAGCGGTGGTGGTGCCGGTAGTGGTGGTGGGGGAGTGCTGTTGCTGCTGCTGTTGACGTTGCTGTTGCTGGTGGCGGTGGGGGTGGGGTTGGGGTTGGGTGGGGGTGGGGGCGGGGGTGGGGGCGGCGGCGGCGGCGGCGGCGGCGGCGGTGGTGGTGGTGGTGGTGGTGGTGGTGGTGGTGGTGGCGGCTTTTGGCTTTTTGGACACGTGTACGGTGTCAGCCCTGACTGGAGAACTGAATTGAAAGGCCTTGTGTCTGGGTCAAAAGGGTTTGAGACATCTATATCCAGTAAATACCTGCAACTGTGGTTATCTACAAGGGTTTGTGCGTGTTTTAGGGGTTCGGGGTTCTGGTAGCGTAAGCAAATGATTGAGATACCGTTTTGTCTTAACAGAGGATCCACTGTCACTTGTCTGTCAAGAAAACGTTTGATCCAGGATGCATCCCAGCTATTTGGCACCTACACGATGCCACTACAGAGCCCAATGAGCATCGAAGAGCCCCCGCAGTATGTCTCGCACTATGCGCCATCGCTCAAGTCAGCACCATGGGTGACCAATGAGTCGCATGCCCACGTGAGTCCACTCGTTCAGGCACCACCCGGGCTGCACCAAATCCCTGTGCCCACAAGCCTCATCGGCGGTTCCGAGAAGAGGACGGATGACAAGGATGATGGAGAATCCTGCTCTTCGAGGTTGAGTGAAGCCTCGCTCGGCAGCCAGGATGATCCTGAAAGTTTTCTTCACTGGCTGTTGGTAACCATCATTTTCAATGTGGTTTTCATCGTTGTTCTAGACAGGTTTCAATTGAGCAGTAAGGCATGGAGTCGTTTCCTATCTCCGTCACCAAGAGCATGGTGCCCGATGACATGACGACAGCTACCCGGAGTATGACGTCCACTATGTGCCTGAGCGCAACACCTTCGCACTTCAGTCAATTTGATGCCCAGGAAAACTGTGTGTGGTTGTCTGTGTAATTTAGCACACAAGAAGCTGCGCAGCGAAGTTGGCCAGAGGCTCGCGGCACGTTGTAGATTCAAGTGTCCTTGTTCTAGCCCGCATCTTGAGCCCCGAACTCGGAATGCCCTCTATATATATATATGCACATGTATAAAGAGGTGTTGCTTGGCTAGTCTTCGCTCATCTATACCTAAACCGATGCCTATATCCATTTCTATCTTTGTTTATGTTTCCATATTTGCCTCTGTGTGTTTCTGACTGAGTCTCAGTCTGTGAACGTGTATATGTATGCATGCATGTATATACATTTGGATGAATGCACATCTGTATGCACGCATATATGCAAGCATCATGTAAGTCCTGTATATGCATATACACATGCAAATAGACTGGCAGGCAGACAGATAGATACATGGACAGATCGACAGGTAGATAGATGGAGAGATAGATAGGCGGACAAGTCTTGTAGCCATGTATTCATGTAGATATGCCTCTGATTTCAGAGCGCATATCTTGACATAGCCAACAGTAGCGGTGAACACTCAACCCTAAACCCAAAATGATCCTAAACCCCTGGACCCTAGACTTCCCCAAACCTTAAAAACCAAGCTTGAAATAGCCCCTAAACTACGTAGGTGGTTCTCCTTTTGAAAAAAACAAGGGAGCCCTTAAGGGATAACGGTTTAGGGTTTAGGATTTAGGGGTATCAGCATGTAGAGCCACGGTTCGAGCCGATGTGCTGCTTGACTGCCTGACATCCTGGTTTCGGCGGATCGCGTGGGGTCTTAAACTCGGCTTAGAGTTTGGGCCCTGGGCCCTGAACCCGAGATCCCGGTATACCTGGACCCTGAAGAACCTACCTTTTCAGGGCTCCTTATCATGATTGTCCTTAAAAAGGTAGGTTATTTGGGGTTAAGGTAGGGTTTAGAGGGCCCTAAGCCTCATAAACCCGGTAAAGAGTTTAGGCTTTAGAGTTGGGGCCTGGGCCCTAGAAAGGGGAACCCCCTGAAAGGAACCCTAAACCATGGTGTTTATAGTTTAGGGGACCCTTCAATCCACGCCGCTCCGCTGGACAGGAAACCTTGGGCCTACACTCCCCACTTTGGAAGCTAGGGTTTAGGGTTTACTGTCTAGGGTTCAGGGGCTAGGGTTTAGGGGTTTAGGGTTTTACACCTACAGCCAAGAGATTTCTTGAACATCGCAAGTTGTTCGTCCAAGGGGCCTATAGAGAGAGCCCTCAAAAGCAA